AGACAAAATTATCATTAACAGTAAAGCACCTATACACTTGGTATTAAATATTTACATTTTAAAATCTTATTCATCCAATATATAAAACAATATACAAACATGAAAAAAAAATATTTTATAGTAAAACTGAAATCTCATATTTTTGTACAAACTTACTGATTCGTTTTCAGTTTTGAAATTTTCAGAGTTTTAAATACAATATACAACATTCTTAAAATAATTCATTGGTTAACTTGGATTTTTTTTTTCATTTCATCGTTAAGAGTATATAGAAAAATACAAAATTATACATTTCCAGTGCAGCTTAAACAGAATAAACTAGCATCTCTGAAATACATTTAAGTTAATTTCAAAAACATCAGTACCTATAATTTGGTACTTGCATGGAAAAAAATCGAATTTAAAATTTGAGCTGCAATAGAATTCAAAAGATAAAGACCATATATAAGAATAAGATTTCACTTTTTAAATAATAAAAAAAGGTTCATATTTAGTTAAAAACTTAAAATCGCAGTGATTCTCAGAGATGTGGTGGGGATTGAGGATGTGGCTTGAGTCATTTATAGCATGATGTGTGTGGCTACCAAACAAGATACTCTTAAAATGCTTTAATTTATATAAATGTATTTATAAAAGCTAACAAAATCAATTTCAACTAAATATTTTTAATCAGAAATTACAGAGTTAGAGAAATATCTTGAGTGGAAGTTTTGAAGCTGGAAATACTATTCTAAGCTAAAAAGTACAAAATAGTAAACAGTGCAAGCTAAGCAGTGGCAGATCATGACTTCGCCTAGTCCCCACTCTTCTAGCATAGCTCCATCCCCACCACTTCTCTTTAATGCTAATTGTCTTTGCAAATATACATAAGAAAATTTTGGGAATTTTTACCTCTTTTATTTTTATAACCTAATATTCATCAAAAATAAAAATTCATGCAAAATCCAATTTTCAAAATCTCTCTAAAAAAATTACATATAACTCAAAAATGAATAGGGATATTATTAATTATGTAGTATATATTTTCCCCAGAATTTTTATTATAAAATGCATTGAAAAATAATACAAATAAGATTATATTTAACCTCGAGAAATTTTATAAAAGGTGCTTTAAAAAACAATAAAATTAAAAGTTTTTGTAAACTTGTTTTTATAATTATGAATGTAAGAATTTTGTAAAATTTAATAATTTGTATTGCGTCTTATATTACTATTACCTCTCTACAACTATTGGGCATACTGTTGTCTATAATTTTGACAACAATATAATGTTGTCTCTGATTTCACAAGGAATTTTATGCCATAAACATGGTGATACTGTTCTCAGTTGCTGAACGTTAAGAAGCTGCAGGTGGCGGCTAAAAAGCCTTCTCTACAGAGCATCCCACCAGTGATCAATGGAATTGGGATCTAAAGACATTACAGGAAGGGGCAGATGTGAAATGTTCAGATTTTTAAGACATTGATGAACAATATTTTCCATATGAGGTCGCTTACTGTCATCAAGAAAATTGAAAACTGTGGCAATTATGGCCCCGGTTTGAAGAATTTGTATATAATTTCTTGAATATAACAAACTGCAAATGAGATAACCTTCCACAATAAGAAATAGAGTCAGTTCTCCTGAGTAGATACCGGCCCATACCATCACTCTCCCACTTCCAGATTGCATTGAAAGAAGCTGTGGGTGCGTATATTTCCAAATTGCATTGAAAGAAGCTGTGGGTGCGTATATATCACCTGTTCTCGGAAGACTCTTTGGTGCCAACGATTGCTATAAATACAGACTCGTCTGTAAACATAACATCATTTCAATTTCTATCCTCATCCCGGCACTCGCTACACCATAATCTGCGAAGTTCCCAGTGACGCACTGTTCCGGCAGGTCATCTTAAATGGGCTTAAGATAAATAAACAGAAAAAAAAGGGTATAAGATGTTAGGCCAACTTCTCACAAACGATTACGAATGGTTTAAGTTGATATAGGCCTTGGCAAAATATTTGACACTTCATTTAGGCTCGATCAGGCGCTACGAAAAAGATTGCTCCTTGCAGTTGTTAACCCTGCATGTTCTTGTATCTTTATTTTTTTCATTATTTTTCTCACCATCCTTTTTTTTAATTTTGTTTTATAAATGTTTATTTATCTCTTTTTTTGTAAATGTTTGAGGGACAATTGTCCCAGAAATGTATATTATTTAAATATTGGGTATTATTCGCGATGTCAATCACTTATTTATATGCACCAGCCCAGTCAGTAATACCAGCCATGCGGGCAGCAATACCCAGTCTTGTGGACTTGTCAGGGTGGACGGCAGGTTTCATAATGCTCCTGCACTTTTATCGGTAAACTCTCGTGTGGTAAGTTCATTCGTGAACCACTCTCACCTTATCTTTCCTCACGCCATTCCATAGCTGTTGCAATCATCATTCCGAACATATATTCTTGTTTGCCTCATCTCTCCTGCGTTTTAGACAATAGTCCATAACTTGGTATCAGTTGGCGACAGAAGTGTCTCGTTTGAAAGCTGTCCTCTCCACCTCACCTCTTCATCCAATATACACCGATCCTGCAGATTATTGAGTTCACCCCGTCACATTTTCTGTTAGCAGCATCTCTTGTTCCTTTCTCTCCTATCTCCTCTACCTTCTACCTGATATCTTTAAAAATTTGGTGGGTGGTATGTTAACACAGCATGCTCTTGTATCTTTATTTTTTTCATTATTATTTTTCTCACCATCCCTTTTTTTAACGTTGTTTTATAAATGTTTATTTATCTCTTTTCTTGTAAATGTTTGCGAGACAATTGTCCCAGAAATGTATATTATTTAAATATTGGGTATTATTCGCGATGTCTATCACTTATTTATATGCACCAGCCCAGTCAGTAATACCAGCCATGCGGGCAGCAATACCCAGTCTTAGGGATTAAGACATCAAAATAATGCGATAATACGTTACGATTTTTTATAGGGCCGACCACTCAGCGTTCATATATCGCTGTATGACCTAAATTCGTTCTGACCATTTAATTCGTTTTGCGTTCCCGCTCCGCTGGTTTTGTCAGGGTGGACGGCAGGTTTCATAATGCTCCTGCACTTTTATCGGTAAACTCTCGTGTGGTAAGTTCATTCGTGAACCACTCTCACCTTATCTTTCCTCACGCCATTCCATAGCTGTTGCAATCATCATTCCGAACATATATTCTTGTTTGCCTCATCTCTCCTGCGTTTTAGACAATAGTCCATAACTTGGTATCAGTTGGCGACAGAAGTGTCTCGTTTGAAAGCTGTCCTCTCCACCTCACCTCTTCATCCAATATACACCGATCCTGCAGATTATTGAGTTCACCCCGTCACATTTTCTGTTAGCAGCATCTCTTGTTCCTTTCTCTCCTATCTCCTCTACCTTCTACCTGATATCTTTAAAAATTTGGTGGGTGGTATGTTAACACAGCATGCTCTTGTATCTTTATTTTTTTCATTATTATTTTTCTCACCATCCCTTTTTTTAACGTTGTTTTATAAATGTTTATTTATCTCTTTTCTTGTAAATGTTTGCGAGACAATTGTCCCAGAAATGTATATTATTTAAATATTGGGTATTATTCGCGATGTCTATCACTTATTTATATGCACCAGCCCAGTCAGTAATACCAGCCATGCGGGCAGCAATACCCAGTCTTAGGGATTAAGACATCAAAATAATGCGATAATACGTTACGATTTTTTATAGGGCCGACCACTCAGCGTTCATATATCGCTGTATGACCTAAATTCGTTCTGACCATTTAATTCGTTTTGCGTTCCCGCTCCGCTGGTTTTGTCAGGGTGGACGGCAGGTTTCATAATGCTCCTGCACTTTTATCGGTAAACTCTCGTGTGGTAAGTTCATTCGTGAACCACTCTCACCTTATCTTTCCTCACGCCATTCCATAGCTGTTGCAATCATCATTCCGAACATATATTCTTGTTTGCCTCATCTCTCCTGCGTTTTAGACAATAGTCCATAACTTGGTATCAGTTGGCGACAGAAGTGTCTCGTTTGAAAGCTGTCCTCTCCACCTCACCTCTTCATCCAATATACACCGATCCTGCAGATTATTGAGTTCACCCCGTCACATTTTCTGTTAGCAGCATCTCTTGTTCCTTTCTCTCCTATCTCCTCTACCTTCTACCTGATATCTTTAAAAATTTGGTGGGTGGTATGTTAACACCGCATGCTCTTGTATCTTTATTTTTTTCATTATTATTTTTCTCACCATCCCTTTTTTTAACGTTGTTTTATAAATGTTTATTTATCTCTTTTCTTGTAAATGTTTGCGAGACAATTGTCCCAGAAATGTATATTATTTAAATATTGGGTATTATTCGCGATGTCTATCACTTATTTATATGCACCAGCCCAGTCAGTAATACCAGCCATGCGGGCAGCAATACCCAGTCTTAGGGATTAAGACATCAAAATAATGCGATAATACTGCAGGAAAGGCAGTCTGGAGCGAGTCTTTGTTGACGTTGGATCCATGTAGTGGACATCAACCCCACCAGCTCCAGGTTCACCTCACCTCACCTGTGCCAGCCAAGCACCATTTTGAAGATCCCAGCTGTTTGGCTGATACTTTCCCACCATCGACTGTTTGACATCGTAGAAGGTAACCTCGTTGGAAGCAGAACCTCCAACTTGACTCGTTTTTTTTTTTATTCTCCACTGTCACACGAAAGACAGTATTTTTTTTTGCGGCATAAGTGCACTACGGCCATCAAAGACAGTAAATTATTTTGATTTTTTCTTCGCTAAATTAGTTTTATTCTTTTGAACAGTTATTTTTTTTCTCTTGTCTTATTTATAATTTTGGAGGTTGATTTTGTTCCTAATGCTTAAATTGTTTTTATTTTCTCTGAGTATTATATTTTGTGTATGATTTTATTTCAGTACACTTCAATAATCTTTTTAAATTGTTTATTTGTTTTTAACTATTATATATATATATATATATATATATATAGTTTATCTTAATAAATATTGTAAACATTTAGAAGGGGATTTTTTACTTGTTTATCTTAACATATTTAATTAACTAAATATTTTTATTTTAATATTTTGATGTGCATGCATTTTTCATGTTTTACAGGTCTCATATTTACTCTTTTTTTTTTCCTTCTTTCCCACAATCTAATTTTGCTCGTATTTACCCCACCACTGAGGAAACTCACCAGGGAAAGGTTTGTATTTTCATTTTGAAGTGCCCCTGGCCCCAACAGCAGTAATAACAATATTTCTGTCATCCCTTAGTCTTAATGTCCAGAGATTCACTAACAGGTCTCCTATTGGTACTTCCTGTTTCTCTGAATCTGGCTAAAGCCCAGGAGACTAAAATCTGGGAGACGCCAATTGCATCAGTGATATCCCCTTACCAGTACTCTTGACCGCTCAATCTCACGATAATATTCCCAACTTCTGGTTCAATATGATGTTTTTCCATCATTAAACAGAATATTGCTGAATTAACATTGAAAACAACTGTTGGTTTACACAATAAGTATTCTTCATTCATCATGTTTACTATTCTTTAGTTAATAATTTATTAAAAATAAAGAATACTTGTTGCTTACTTTTTATGTTTACCAACAAATAAGAAAATCCCCAAGAAACAAAAAAATAGTGTATTTTAATTAAAATAAATCAAATAGAAATATCCCTATTCATTTATGATCAGTATTAATTGTTGCAATAATTAATATAGCAATAATTGTTGTTCCAACAAAAAATTCATAATTCCTAGAAGTTTAGAAGTTTTCTATAATAAAAAATGACCAGTCACTATAATAATAATTCCTAAAATCAGTTTAAAATCTACAATTAAAAATGATCCACAGCAGATTAGAAAATCACTATGATAGCTAACATTTTTCGGTATTTCAGTCAATGGCTCCAAACATGTTTCAGAAGGGTCAGTAAACTGCCCCTGCAATGAACAGTAACATAATATTAAGTTAATATTTTAAAAAATAAGCTATAATATATAACTTATATATAAAACATAAAAATTACATCAGCAAGAACTGAATATACGTTTAATTTAATAATACAAGAAATTAAAATTATAACAGAAAAAAAACCATATACAAGAATAATTTTCATTTTTTTTGTTCTGATTGGTCTATTCGTCTCATACTATGCTATTTTTTTAACAAACATTTATACTAGTTACTAGTTCATGTTACTATAAGCCATAGTAGGTTTCAAAAGTAGGCAAACCATAAATTAATAATCAATCTCTTTAGGTAAGACCAATCCAGCAACATTTTTCCGATCATAAAAATATATTCCTGAATCATACTTTTCTGGGGTCAGGAATCCTAAGGTATATATATATATATATATATATATATTCTTCAAGTTCTTCAGTTTCAGGTTCTTCAAGTTCTTCTTTCTGGTATATATATAAATTCTAACTCAATTAAAAACCACGCAGAGATCAATTCTAAGGTGACCAGAAAGAAGAACTTGAAGAAGCATATCAGGATTTCCAATAAAGTTACAAGGAATGGACATTGCTCTTATCCCTAGTTAGAGAATGTTGCTTCTAATAAGCTGACAAACCTCATTTTTCTAAAGAAGCAAAGACGATTGTCTCTCAGAAAGCTATCATCCGCCAACCCAATAGCTCCCAAAGATGACGTGTAAAAACTATCAGTATTCCATCGAACTAAACATCCAAAACAATAATACAAAACTAAAATAAAAAGGTAACAACTACTATCTAAATGGCTTGAAAAAAAACTCGTGACTTAAGGTCGGAATGGTTTAAGCTTTGCTTTTGTTTGCAATTATCACCATACAAATTTACAAATGACAGATCCCTTCGAATATAGTACAGAAGATCATATTATAAATAAAAATATTTATATCATAAATAAAAAGCACTTATAATAATAGTATTGTTTAAAGTGATAAAAATAATATAAAATATTAATTATAATTTTACCTGGCACATTTCTTCACAAGAGGGGCATACAAGGGCACCCTTGTGCAACCAGTTATTAGCAAAAATTCTTATTGGATGAACCTGTCCTCGGAAATAACATGTATATGTGTGATTGTTAATCTGAAATAAATAAATTTTTAATAAGTTTAAAAAAAATGAAAAGAGACACTTATCACACTAAAATATTAATATTAGTTTAATTATAAATATAAGTAGAATTATTTTAATAAAGCCTATAATAAATTTGATTAAACAGTTCTTATTAACAACTCACAATAATATGCAAAAATCCAGAATAACATTTATAACGGTAGCAACCAGATCCCCAATGTTGCCACTGCCTGACTTGCTTGCAAGTGAGTTCCTCCCACATTTTATCAGTGTGATCAAAACATCTGGAATCTTCTCCATATTCTTCCAATGCAAAATTTTTATCAGGATCTGAAATTAAGTTAACCAAATAAGTTTAATAATGCGTTTGTTTTTAAAATAAAGCAATGTTAAAAAAGATAATATTGGTTAAGTAAATAAAACATAACTGGAAATTATGTCAAATGATAATAAAGAAATACAATGAATATTCACGGCTATAGTCCATAAACCCCATAATAAGCATAAGTTTACAAAAAAATATTAATGGTTCCAAGAGTCAATGGAAGAAGAAAATCAATCTGATTTACTTTCCATTTAAAAGTATCAATAAACTAACTATCCTCATGCAGGCTCATTACTGTGTATGGAGAGCGTCCCACGGCTGACGGATGTGGGAATGGTCAGTGAAAATTTCAGGAAAGTTCCTCCCTGCTAAGTCGGATGGACTCGCTCACCAACAATGAAAGGGGCAGACTTGCTGGAGGATGTGACATAGGATTTAACACCCTACTCACATATCTTTTCTCTATACACCACAGATAGTCATGGATCTCCCTAAGGTAAAATGCTCATTATGCGGAGGTAAACCAGTCCTCCGTCCGGGTCTCCAGGTGGGGACTGCTTTAGGGGATTCATGGCACAAGTTGAAAAATAGAGGTTTAGGTATTGGTACGTGGATTGTAAGGAGTTTCAATTCAGCAGGTGGGTTAAAATCGGTCGCGAATGAGATTAATGGGTAAAATTTGGATATTGTGGTTCTGCAAGAGATCAGCTGGCCAGGGTAGGGCTCGATAAGGGAAGGAAAGTATACTATTTGGTACGGAGAATGTGGGAATCATTGTTTAGGTACCGGGTTTCTGATTAGAAATAGATTGTTATTCACTTTGAGGGACGTGCAATTCTTTAGTGATAGAATTTCAGTAGCCATATTTCAGAGACGTTGTTTTAAAATCGAGTTAATAAAAATACATTGTCCGACCGAAGACAGTGGCGATGAAGTCAAATGCGAATTTTACGATAAACTTGAATGGGTTTATAATAAACTAATGCGAAACTCCATGAAAACAATTTCATAATAAGTTAGGTGATGCAAACGCAAAGGTGGGGAGGGAAGAACTTTATTTTCCGACGATTGGTAAAGAAAGTTTGCATGAATATATAGTAATGATAATGGGATCCATCTGATAAATTTTGCCATCTCGAAAAACCTGATAATTAAAAGTACTATGTTTAAACATAAGGATATTCATAAATATACCTGGACATCACCGGATGTGCAAACACGAAATCAAATCGATCATGTCTTGATACAACATAGCTGGCAAAGCAGTATAATTAATGTACGGTCTTATTGCGGAATGTGGGTCAGATCATGAATTAGTCAATGCGAAACTAATAAAAAAAATTAGAAAAGAAAACCTTTTCGATATCGAGAATCCATCAATCAGAACTCAATTCGAGCTAGATGTTAAGAATAGGTTTGAAGCTTTAGAACCTTCTGACAAGGACCGTGATGATATAGATAATGTATGGGTAGGGATCAGTGATAATATTAAAACGGTCGATAACTCGTTTCTTGAGAAAAAGGAAAATGAAAAGAACAAGGCATAGTTCGATGAAGATTGTTTAAATATGTGTGATAAAAGAAAAGCTGCTAAATTAAAAGCTCTAAATAATCCTAGCGAAGACAATCTCAAATACTTCCAAGCCTCAAAGAATGAAACGACAAAATTGCTCAAAAATAAAAAAAGGGAGTATCTTAAAAATAAAATAAGAGAAATAGAAACTAATAGAATCGAAAATAACGTAAGAGACATGTACAAAGGTATAAACAGATCACGTAAATGTTTAGAGCCCATCAGGTCTGGAATTAGGGATGAAAATAACAATATTCTGACTGATCCTGTAGACATATTAAATAAGTTTAAAAACCACTTTGACAATATTTTAAATACGGGAAATTATGATCTTTGTCCTCCTTCTGAGCACCAGAGTGCTGAACCGTTAATAGAAGAACCCAATAAAGAGGAAGTTGAAGTAGCTATCAGAAAATTGAAATCTTATAAAACAGCGGGAACCGATAATATTCCTAGTGAACTAATTAAGGCATATGGGGAAGATGAAGTTTCTAAAATACATTTTTTGGTTAAAAAGATCTGGGAGAATGAGAAATTACCGGAAGAATGGAAAGAATCTATTCTTATACTGGTTCACAAAAAGGATCCGGGCACGGATTTTAATAACTATCGAGAAATTTCACTCCTTCTGGTATGTTATAAAATATTCACTTTAATCTAAACTAGTCGAATCACGGAATACGCCGAGGAAATTATCGGAGACTACCAATATGGATTTAGACGGAACCGTTCGACTATTACAACCGTACTATCAAATATTTTCTTTATGCCAAATATTGGAGAAAAAATTAGAGTACAGTGGCGTTGTTTGTTATAGCCTTAACAACAACTATATGTTTTAATGTACATCATATGTTTTTAATAGCAGTATTATTCAATGTGTTGATATGGTTGAGTTAAAAAAATAAAAGTGTGTTATGTTCTAACTTGCTTCCATTTTTAAGAATAAAAGTATATTCCCAGAATTTCCAATACACTCCAGTCACAACGTTGTTCATCAGCTGTATGTCAATTTCAAAAAGGCTTACGATTCTATTGATCTCCAGAAATCGTATAATATTTTAATCGAGCAGGAGATTCCAAAAAAAAATATTTGAAAATAAAGTTTTGCATAGAAAATTCAGATCAAAGAAGGATGAATTAATCAGAGATTTCAGATGGTTACACAACACTGAATTGCATTAACAGTATCTGGTTAATATAATTGAAGTGATTACATTGTGGCGAATAAAATGAGCTTGTAAAATTGTTAGGCTTAGTAACGAAAGAATTCCTAAAAGGTTAATATTTGCTGTACTGAATGGCAAATGTCTGAGAAGTAGGCCAAAGTGAAGGTGAAAAGATTGCATTAAAGCTGATCTGAAGGGACTGGGTTTGGACGGTGACCCGTGGAGGGAAGTGTGTAATAAGCAATTGATGGTGTCGAACCTTTACATTCGCTAAGCCTCCTATTATTATAAACTAACTATATTCACCAGTTTTTCATCTTACTTTACTTGTAAATACATTTTATATTAAACATGATAACATCCAATTTTGTGTAATGAAAAAAGCAGTAACTGTATTTATTAAGCTTTTTAAGTATAGTACATTACTTTCATCTGTTGTTATATCGTATAAATAGTACTTGAAAATTATTCTAGGAAGGGGGAGAGGGGTTATTTCATGGAACTTTTGTAGATAATACAGTTGTTTCTAGGTTTCTTGTTCGCAATGTGTGGTCAAAGCTTAATGTTCAATTTGTTAATGTTAATAACCCAAACATGAATGAAAGTTTTACTTTTATTTTTACTTACGAGGATTGTTATCTGGATACTGGCAATGTGAACCACGTATAACAACATTTTGAGCTCTCCAAGTGAATTCTTGTATATAAGGACAATAATCAGCTAAACTCACAACACCTCCATAATATGATTCATTTCCTTTGGAAATATGTGGGATGTAATCAAAATTCTAGAAAAAATCAAATAAATCACTGAGTAAGCATAAATATAGGATAGGAGTGTGTATGGGGGGAAGGAGCATGTGCGTTTGTGTGTGTGTGTTTGTGGATGCATGTATTTGTGTTTGTGTTGAGAGATACAGTTTTTACAGACAAACATTTAAGTTATATTTAATAATAAATTTTTATTAAATAAAAACATTTATTAAACAATGAATCTGTACCTGGTAATGGGAAGGTAATTTTTCTGTATATTGAACAAGGTTGCACAAAGCTACAGACGTCCTATCATCAGTACATTCAGTTTCTAAAGGATCTCTTTTTACTTTATCACAAAAAGGATGAATAGACAATCCTCTAAAATTTTAGAAAGCACTTAGTGCATCTAATTTAAACAGTAATTTGCTATAATAGTTATAGATATAATAGTTATAAAAATAGTGCTATATATCATGCCTTACTTTGTTCTCTTACTATCAATCCAGTTCTTACAAGATTTCTTAACAAAGTCACAACCCAGAGACTTTCCCCATGACAAAGGTTGAGCCATTGAATAATTAGCAGAATACCAACCAGTATCTTCCATTAAAGCCAATGTAAGTCTTGAATAAACAGGATTTTGGGTGTGGGTACCCGTCATCGCTTCATTCTGAAATAAACAGTAAATGGTTCAAAACTTATAAACAATAACTAATTAAACCATTCATAATTCAGCATTAATTGAAATCAGAGGAATAAAAAAATAATGGTTATCTTCATGGTATCAATATTAATGAAATTTAAAAGAGTAATAAATTAATTTGTTATTCATTGTTTTAAATAGGTAATAATTAGAGACCGGATTTTCGTGCAGTAAAAAATGGAAAACGTGCAATATAAAACTGAAAATGTGCAAAATCATGCAGTAAAAACCCAAAAATTGTATACATAATATGCAAAAATCGTAGTTTTTGTTTAATTTATAATATTAATGCTTGTTTACTCTTAAGTGAGGGTTATAGTCTCTAAATTGAAGTTAGCTATAATATGTAGTAACGTGAGAAAAATCTAATTCTAATTTAAAATGCACAAGGATTAACCTAATTCTGTATGAAAGAAAAGCAGCAAAAATTTAATCATATTTTTAATAAATGGTGTTTTTTTTTTAATTGTAGCTTGATTTTACAAATGCAGATCAATTCAAATAAAAAAAAAACACGAATTCAAATTTTGCAGCCACCAAATTTTGGTACCGCAAATAACAGAACTACAAGGATAAGGGGCTTTATAAGTTACTATATTCACTTGCATTAAATTAAATTATTAAATATGTTACCCCCAATTATACTATTGTTTAAAAAATAAAATGTGTGTACTTGGATAGTAATTTTGTTTCCTATATCAAACAATACGAGTCTGAAATATCTTTTGAGCCCAGAAAGATAACTTGAAAATGTTATTTTAAATAAAAAAATTAAGAATAAAAAATTAAAAACTATTTCCGGCATTATGTTGTCCATGGATTGGATAATGCTGTTCTTAACTACAAACCTCATATAATACATAATAAATGTAAATAAATATTTTCAAATAAGTACAAGTACATATCATAGCATGTACATGTAATTAATCAGTGGATGATTAAGGAAATTTGGTTCAAGTATTTTACTTTATACTGTTAAAATTGAAATTCAGCCAATAAATTGTAAAATATGCAATATCATGCAACAAAAACCAAAAACATGTAATTAAGCAAAAAAATGCCAAAACCTGCAATTTCATGCAAAATGAAATTTAAATATGTTATTCTCCAGATCGTGAAGCAGATTTTTACACCTAAGTGAAGAAAATGTGCAATAATATGAAAATCCGGTCTCTAGTAATAATAATCTACAATTATGGTTTGATTACCTACATAATATGGTGAAATATAAGTGAAAAAAAAAATGAAAAAGAACAAATAATAAATTAACAACAAATAATAAAAATAAAAAACAAATGACCAGGACTGATTTAATCTTTGAGATTAAACTAATGTTTCTAAAATATAACTTGAATTTAGTAGATGATAAAGGAGACTGAGGAAAGGGAATTAGAGAAGGAAAAAATAGTACATAAAAGATTAAGGATGAAAAGATATCAAATTCAAACAAAATGATGATTTTATAAAGCTTGAATGGAACAGCAGCTCACCTCAAACACACGCTTTTCCCAGTGGGTCAAAACTGTTCCTTCTTCTCCCTGATCTTCAAGCTCAGCACCTTCTAGTGTGGAACAGTTAAAATGCTCCCTTACCTCTTTCACAACTCTCGGAGTTACCATTACTTGTATTTTACGTGAAATAGACCCTCCATGGATATCCCATTTTTCCCTTTCTACTATTTTTATAACTTTATCACTCCACTGTCTAGCCTGAATCCTATAAAAAGTTGAAGATCAAATTTATACATTAATATTATAATTTAAAAAAAAAAATGTTTTAGCACTACGTTCCAGAACCATGGGTCCATTCACCCAGCCAACAGCAGTGTTTGAGAATTTTCCAAAGCTCATTAACAACCTGTAATGGGTAATTTGAAACTAACTTTTACTTGACAATCTATTAGTTTTTGAAAATTCAAGAGTGTTCCTAATCAAAAATACTTATTACTTATTTCAAGGGTGTTTTAAAAATTAAATCCTTGTTTTGTTTTTCATATATAGTTTGTAAATTTTACTCTATGTTTTAATGTATGTTTACTCTAATTTATTTTCATTATGATTAAATATTTTTTTAAAATAATGCATCACGATTAAATAATTAATTGATAGTTTTGTACAATATGGCCAGAAAAAGAAGGATTTTGTTTGATGTGTCTCTTGGGTTATGATGAAAATTTGTATAGATTTTATTATAAATTTATGGTTTCTTTATCGTAAATAGTAATCATAATATTCAGAAAATAAGGTGATTCTAAAAAATACTTCTGTATTTAAGTGTAAATACTATAATTAGTTTAATAATCATAATTTAGTTAAATTAGTTATAATTACATACTTCTACATTGTTGTATAAATTATATAGATTAATTATTTTTTATATTTTATATTATTTATATTGTTTTAATAAATAAATAAACATTTATACATTTTTTTTCTTATTCCTCAAAAATCAATTAAAAACAAATTTAACATACAACTATTTTATTGGAATTTAATAAAAAGAATATTTAATCTTTAAGAAATCTAGTGATTAATATTGAAGTTTATGTTACTTCGTGGAGAGTTCATTATAAAGATAATATGAAAAAAAGGACGCTATTTACATATAATAATTTGTAGTAATAATAATAATTTACTGGATTAATAAGTAATGAAATAATTATGTTAATTAACTGACAAAGAAGGAATATTAATAAAGATAATAACTTAAAATTATGGCACGTTTAGTTTGAATAAATTGTTACAAGTATGCCTACCTTGTTTAGCTGAGGCATGTGGTCACAGAACCACCTAATGTTTTTGGAAAAAGTATAACTTTTTTTTTCTCTGAATCCTTATTAAAGATAAGATTTTTTTTTTTTTTTTTTACCAGAAGGATTTAATTTCCTGAACTAAGAGCTCACTGAATGTGTTAATAATTCTGAAACAAACTTTATAGCTTTCAAAAAAAAAAAAAAGGGGTAGCCTAATGCTCATTCTGGCAATGCTCACTTTTCTTAAGTATTAAAGGTACTTCAATGAAATTTCTGATTATTGTTAATTATGTTTCAACAGATACACTTAGAATAGCTATAGAAACTCTAAAATGACTATTCAAAATCTAAACACAAACCTGTGGTTTTGGGCAGGTTTGCCGTTTTCTTCCCGAGGTGTAAGCGGGTTACCATCAGAGTCACGATAAAAAGCAAATAAACTGATAGAAAATCCAAGTGCATGAAGGATTTCATGTTTGACTGTTGATAAAAGAATTTCAAGCTCCTGAGGTTTAGTATTTATGCTATTTGGACAGAAGTTAGCATGACCAGCTATCGGCCTATAACAAAAAACATTATCTTAAAATAACAATTTTCATGAGAACATTGTTTGGGACTAATCAAACAAAGTCCATCCAAAGGCAATAGTTCTAAATCATACTTTCAAGTGTTATAAAATTAGATTTACAAACAAAATTGTACACATTTTTCTCCTAAGAAATATATACTTGAATAAAATGTATTTTAAACAAATTTAATTTTTAAATAAAAATGATATTATTTTAAGGTAGAGTTAGGGTATATCAATTCTAAATCATTCACTAAATTAAAAAAAATTAATCGATGCATTAGACTTTGAAAACTGAAATCATTCAAAAACAAGAGTTCTGTAAATCTGATATCTGCCGGAAATGGTGAGGTAGTGGGTATTTGAAAAAAAAAATTTCCAAGAACCCTCCTGTAATGGCACAATTTTCTTTTATTATTATTTTATTATAAATGATAAAAACTTTGATTTTTTTAAAATTACATGCTGGTCATTACTTCTTGGTATTGAAATTCAGATGAATAATTCACAAATATGTACAGTACCCTTACCTTTCATACTTTTACAGAAGGTTTTATGCACAATTTTGTTAATACTACACTATTTCCTACATTATATCATAAAATAATATTTCCTATGCACACTATTGAATAATCTTTTTTTCAAAGCGAAGAAACATTTATTATACTACACACAGAACATCAGGGATTGAAACATACCACCAATCACTGCTACTTTGATATTTCCAAACATGCAAGTAAAGCCGGCGCTACACAATAGCCTAAGTGCTATGAACGTTCGCGCTTCACGTAATTCAGGGCATCGTGTGGCCATGTTGGAAATGGTGAGTAGCGAATGTGAAGTGATGAATGCTAGTGAATAGTCTTTACCAGTCACACGGTACCCTGAAAGTTTAGGACATGTAGTTCACCTCATGGCCCAATGACAACCATTCGGGTTCACAGTGTTTATCAGACATCAAAGGATTTCTAGGAATCAATATCTGCCGAGTATATCTATGTTTTCCATGGCTGTACTGTGAAAAGCTATAATGTGCATTAAAATTTAAAACTTTAATTACTTTTTAATTATTTAATTTCATTTATCCTTCCTTATTACATAGAATAATTAATACTGTTTAATTTTGAATAGTGCTAAAGTTTATTTAGTAAAATTTGATTAAATAAATATATGGTTTTACTTAACTTCACAAGTGAATTATAGCTATTTGTTTCTTTTTTTCACAGAATACCAATATATTCAATTCATTAATGCATAAAGAAAATACAGTAAAGGCATATAGTTAATAATATATTTACATAGGCGAAACATCACTTAACCTTACAAAAAAGGAAAATAATTATAATAAACAATTCTTAAAATCGATAATTAAGAAAATAAAAATAAAATCTGATCAAAATTTTTATCTTTAATTTTTAAATATTATATGATAATTTCATTAAAAGCGATTTTTATTTTTGAACCTAAGAGATAGAAATCATATCCTAGTCATTACTTTTAAACAAAAGTTTTACAATTAACAATAATACTTTTAAATCACAAATATAAATTTTTGTAACCTCTATGATATATTTTAAGTCCAGAGTAGTATATAGAGAATATTATTGTCAACCATTAGTAACAGGACATCTTTATTTCTAAAATTCATTAAAAAAAAAAATATATATATATACATATACATTTTTTTTCTTCTTTTTTATTGGGAAGTTGTTATTCTTTGTTTTTGGCAATAAAAACTTCCAAGTATAAAACAATTAGTTTATTTGTAATAATAAAAGGCTTAGCGAACCCGAATGTTCGATGCCGACACCACCAATCGCTTATTACACACCTCCCTCCACCATTTGCCGTCCAAACACAGCCCCTTCAGATCGACTTTAATGCAATCTTCCCACCTTCGCTTCGGTCCACCCCTCGGACGTTTACCTTTCGGTACAGCAAATATTAACCTTTTAGGAATTCTCTCGTTACTAAGCTCAACAATTTTACAAGCCCATTTGGTTCACCGCAATGAAATTACCTCAATTATATTACCCGGATACAGTTCACGCAATTCTGCGTAGTGAACCGTCTGAACTCTCTGGTTAACTCATCCTTCTTCGGTCCGAATATTCTATGCAATACTTTATTTTCAAAAACCTTAAGACACTGATCATCCCTTAATGTAAGTGGCCAAGTTTCACATACATAAAGAACTGTAGGTAAGATAATAGATAATAGATTCTAATTTTTAAGTTCTGGGACAAGAGGCGCGAGCTAAGTAGTTTTGTCACAGAAAAATAACAAGCATTTCCCGCCTTCAGTCTAATCTTAATCTCTTCTTCGATTTCGTTTTTTCTAGTTATCGTAGAACCTAGATATCTAAATTTCTCTACCTGTTCAAATATATTGCCATCTATATTGATATCACCAGTAGTATCGCCATTTTTTCAGCTAACCATATATTTTGTTTTATCCGTGTTTATTTTGAGTCCTAGTTCTTTACTGGCTTTCATTAACATTGTCGTATTTAGTTTTATAGTTTTCATGTCTTCGCTTAACAGTACCAGATCATCAGCATAGCCTAGCACGGGAGTTGTCCCACCCAGATCCAACCCTTTTTCGGTACGCATTACCTCCCTAATGGCATGTTCTAATGCCAAATTGAACAGGACAGACAAAAGGGAATTCCCCTGTTTTAAACCCGAACGAACCTCAAATTTTTCGGACAGATTACTACCGATTCTAACTTAATTGAGTGTTTAGGTCAAGCACATCCTGACTAGATTTACTAATTTTTTTGGAATCCCCTGCTCGATTAGAATATTATTTAGTTTCTGGCAGTCAATAGAATCGTAAGCTTTTTTAAAATTGATATACAGCTGGTGAACAATACCGTTGTACTCCAATTTTTTCTCTAATATTTGCCGTAAAAAAAATATTTGATCAATATTCGAACGGTTCCGTCTAAATCCACATTGGTAGTCTCCGATAATTTCCTCGGCGTATTCCATGATTCGACTGGTGATTCGATTAAAGTGAATATTTTATAACATACCAGAAGGAGTGAAATTCCTTGATAGTTATTACAATCTGTCCTAGGACCCTTTTTGTGAATCGGAATAAGAATAGATTCTTTCCATTCTTCAGGTAAGTTCTCATTCTCCCAGATCTTTTTAACCAACCGATGTATTTTAGAAACTCCAGCTTCGCAGCATACCTTAATTAGTTCAGTAGGAATATTATCGGTTCCCGTTGCTTTGGGTTATACAGAAAATAATGAAAATATACTATCTGGAGCATCACATTTATGGGACTAATAATTGGGTGTCTGCTAGCTACTTGGGGATGTTATTGACCTCTGTATCTAATTATTTATTATTCTCTATTGTTATTTAATGACTGATGGTTAGCAGCATTCCAGTTTTACTATATTTTAATTTTGTTTAAAATGTCTGCATAATGTGTTCTTAAATATTTATTATGTTTTTTGTAATTTACTGTTATTCTATTATATTTTGTGATGTGGATGGTTCTATTATATTCTATTATTATACTTTGGTTCTGTCCATATTATTTGATTCATTGAAATTGAAATTGTGTTGTAATTTTATTCTATGATGTGCTAATGCCGAGGAGTTTATGTTTTTTGCAGTTGGAAATGTGCTGTGAAATTCTGGTTTTTAGTTGTTTTGATATTTCACCAATGTAAATTTTTGACAGTTCAATTTATAAATTACATTTTTCTTATCTATTGAATCTACTTTATCTTTTGTGTTGGTAATGTATTTGCTTAGTTTTTTGTTATTGTACTGTCAGAGATTGATTTCTGGTAAGTCATAATTTTTAAACACATCCTTAATTTTCTTTGTAAGTTCAGGTATGCATGTCATTTTGTAGCAGGTGTTAATGTTCATTTTTTTTGTTTGTGAAATGATGTCTCGATTGTTCTTGTATGTTGTATTTGTTTTTTCAAATAATTCAGTAATGAATTGTTGTGTTTGTTATAATAAATAATTTTTTTTTGTAATCTCTATGATATATTTTGAGTCTATGATATATATATATATATATATATATATATATATATATATATATATTTTTTTTTTTTTTTTTTTTTTTTTTTCAGTTGGCTCTACAGACCTTGTAGATCTTTGGCTGTCTGAACCAGCCTTCTCCATCTCTATGAAATGCCTATCTTGAGATACTGCTTTCCAGTTTGTAGCATAAAGCTCAGCCATGTCTTTATTTATCCTATCTATCCATCTGGTTTTTGGCCTCCCATGTAGTCTCTTGCCTACTGATCTTATATTCATTGTTGTGTAAAGGCATCCTGATGGATTGCTTTGAGATACATGCCTAACCCATCTTAACCTCTTTGCCTACATATCATGAGATATTGACTGACCAGTTTCTTTTAGCGGTTTTTTATTGTTCCTTCTCCTGTGTTAAGGTTCTGATCCCAGATATGTCCTGTTTATTGTACAGAATCTCTCAATTCTGCTTTCTACGGTGCCGGTTAGATCCCAGGTTTCACAGCCATACAGCAGAACTGGCTTTATCACGGCATTGTACACCCTTAGTTTGAGATTTCTGGAGATTTTTCTGGATTTGAATACCCTTGAAAGAGAGAAGAAAGCTAGGTTCACACTTGTTATTCGCTGATCTATCTCTGTTAGTTGATAATTTATTGAGGTTATAGTGGAGCTGAGATATTTGAATCTATCTACTTTCAGCAATACTTACAGGATCTGGTTTTTCAACCTCAAGTGGATTGATGTCCTCAGTGTGGTCCATGTCTTCATCGTTTATGGGGTACCCTTGATTGAGGAACTTCTGGAAGTGTTCCTTCCAGATGCTCAAAATCTTTTCTTTTGATGCCGTCTATTTGCTATCTTATATATATAAATAGTGCATGTAGCGGGTGCACAATTAAAGTTATATTTAACAAATATAATATTAAAAAAATAATAATAAATACATTCATAACAATAAATTAATTTGTATGTAAAAGGGATTTTTATTTTCAGATCAAAATTTTTTTTATCAAAACTTAATCATTATTATTTATGTAAAATCATATCATTATTTTTAATTTAATTAATAAACATCAAAGATCAATTTAATTTTTTATTTAGTGATCAGGCATGATTTTAAAATTAAAAATCAAATATAATAATTATTACACGATTTTGTGGAAAAAAATAATTACTGATTTCAAACCCTGATAATAAAGTACATATAACAATTATTAATTAAATATTACAGCACTGCAAAAAAACAAGTATTCACTTAAAATAAAAAAAATTTAGTTTAATTATAATAAGCTTTTAATATTCTATGAATTCAGTAACGTCTATATGTATAAAAATCCAACATTCGTCTCACATTGCACAAACCATTCAGATCACATTTGCATAACCATTTGAGGTTTTAATATGAACGTTGCTGTGAACATTTGCACAAACGTTTAGGCCATCGTGTAGCGCCTCCTTAACAGAAACACCTTAATTATCGGTTGATGGTTGACTGTAATGAATAATTGAAGAGAAGGATGGTTGGGGTGATCAGTCAAAATTTTATTTATTTTTATATTTGCCGAAATTTTGGCCCAAAGTTCAGGCCTTCATCAGGGCTGTTCAATCCAAGAAGCGTGGAAAGAGCAGATACAGTTTAATGCATAATGCAGTGTAAGATCTAATAATAATGCAGTATAAGGAAATCCCAGAAAGATCTCATAAAAATAAGCAGCACAATAGTAGATTGAGCATGACTAAGATGGGAACAATTAATAACTGATGATACAAAAGAAAGTTGATGTTTATTTCAATCAAAGTTTGAATACTGGAAAAAAAAAAGGTTAGGTCTTTCTACGCTTCTTGGGTTAAACAGCCCTGATAAAGGCCTGAACTTTTAGCTGAAATGTCGACAAATATAAACATAAATATAATTATTTATTTTTACTATTTTTTATTTTGATTTTTCACCCCAACCATACTTCTCTTCAGAAATACTTTATGATTAGTTTATATAAGACCCTAATTAGAGTTGTTATTACACACGACTCTGAGTGCTAGAGTTTTAATAAGGCAATGAAATATTCTTTACTCTAAAAGTTCTATTCAAAATTTATGGTAGAATATATGAAAATTGAATTTGAAGAAATAGAAATGTTAAAATAAAAGCCATATCATGAGATAGACATATGTTGTACAATTCAATTTGTTTGGTAAGGCGTAAGATCTAGTAATAATGCAGTATGAGGAAATCTCAGAAAGATCCCATAAACATAAACAGCACAAGAGTAGGGTGATCATGACTAAGATGGGAACAATTAATAACTGATGATACAAAAGAAAGATGATGTTTTTTTCAATCAAAGTTTGAATACTGGAAAAAAAAAAAAACAGAAAAAAAATATGATTTTTGTTTTTCATTACATCATGGGATGTTCTTGATTTTGATCTAATATTCAGATGGTAGAGCAGGGCTAATAATGTTAAATTGTATTATTAAAAAATAAATCAGTGTCATCCTGTCATCTAACTAGCATATTTTCCTTTCATAGAGTTTTTATTTATTTTTTGGGGGAGGAGGGGCTCTTTGAAAAAAATTCAATTCAAGGAGTTTCTGCTAACAAATTTAATACGATAAAAAAAAAAAAAAAAAAATGCCAGAACGTTTCAATATTGAAAAATATGAATTTATTTGAAAAACACTTAATGCTCTGGATTTAAACTAATTATGAAAAATAATGATATTATTATGAGGGTAAAGCCCTATAAATAAGAAAAGAATAGATACCTATCTAGTGCTGATTCTTGCTGGCAATGAGCAGCGTATGCAACTGTAAGTCCTTTGTTGCACCTTTCAGTGGCCATTGCACTAACATAAAACACAAAATCTGCCCCTTTTATTCCCCTACCTGGGTTACCATGCTCAGTACAACTCAATCCAGTTGCATTACAGGTTCGACAGACCTAAAGAAGTTATAAATAAAAGTAACAGTAATAGGTAAACAATTTACAACTAGTTTACAAAATAAACATCATTATAGTGCGATTTCAGTAATTCGAACTTTAGTAGTCCTAAAAATCCAAACTTACAAAAGAAGAAAGAAAAAAAAACAGGAGGAAGGAAGGGAGGCAGGAAAAAACTGAACAGCAAAGAAAAAAAAGAAAACAAGAGGCACAATGAGCCAAAGACAAATTTCTTATTAAGACGCCCACCTATCTAGCCAAATTTGCTTGAATATTCTAAGCTCATACACATATTCACTCTTCCCGTGAATGTCCCATATTTTTTTATTAAAATAGAATGAGAGAAGAGCACGAAGATGTCCTACTTCAATCACTGTACCCAAAGGGAAACAGCGAAATATATTACATGGCAACAGACCCTTCTCCTATAACATCTAACAGAAGAAGCTGAGCTTTTATTTTATGTCGTTTGACCAACATTTTCTGTAATTTAGTAATTCGAACACCCACCTGCATCCATTAATTCAGATAACTGAGATTATACTTTGTTATTAAAAAAAAAAATTGGACCTAAAAGAAATTGAGAACTATTGGATGAGTAACAAAACATATCTAAACAGAATCATCACTTACTAATTACTTCTTAGTTAAGCATAAACTTTCTTCAGGTTTAACAGACCTTGCGATTCCCTGATTTCTTACTTGTTTTATATCAATTCACTTTTATCAAACATTTATTATACTATAGGATATGTGAATAAGTTCCCACCATTTTTCTATAAAAATTAAAACTTTATTCATAAACAATTGTCAAGACACAGGTCATTCAAAGTATTGTCCATCACTAGCCAATAATTTCTCCCATCTTTCAGGTAATATATGTATTCCATACAGAAAAAAAGAAATGTCTTTCAAGGCAATCCAGTCATTGAACCGTTTTTAGTTTTATCATAAGAATGGAAGTGCTGCTATTTAGCCAGGCCATTAGTAAGCACCTAGACAGTCTTTATCTCTAAAGTCAAAATCATTGCTTTTAAAACATTGAAACCATTCTCCATATGTTCTTTCTGATAGAGCATGATTGCCATAAGTTTTCACAAGAACTCTATACACTTCAGCTGCAGTTTTCGTTTGGAAAAAATAGTGTAATACAATTCCCCACAAAAACAGTTTTGAGGGTATGAAATTCACTATGTTTGAAGAGATATGAAAAACATACACTTTGAGGATTTAAAATAGATGGATAAACATAGTACAGAGAATAAGCACTTGAATAAAGTTGGCTTCAATGTTGCCAGATGCATCTAGGTAAACAAAAATTCTCTAGATAACAAACGGCAGAAACTTATTCACACAACCAATACTTAGCAAGAATCCTAATTACTCATAAAATAAATTTTACAATCACATAAAATTTAAATACAGAACAAAATTTAGCATGGGATACAAGGATTTTTTGCTAAAATATTAATTAATGCACTTACATCTAGATGAGACTCAGGCACTTCAACTTCCCCACACAATGTTTTTACTTCACATGAGTTTTTGCAATATGAATGCAAATCACCTTTACGGTAAAATACTTGGTTGTTCTCACATTTTCTAAACATGAATAAACAAACAAAATAAATTAATTAATAAATAAATAAGAAATGTGTTTTAATTGTTAAAAATTATCATTTTTTTCACACATGCGCACTATATATATATATATATATATATATATATATATATATATATATATATATATATATATATATATATATATATATATATATATATATATATATATACACATAATATTTATATATAACCTATATTTGAGGCAATAAAATGAAAAAAATCACGGTACAAGCACTTGGTTGCGGTACAAGTTGCAATACTAAAAAATAAAAAGTAATAGTTATTATAGATGTGCCAAGATACCTACTGTCGAGATTAACTGATGTAGGAAACATAGAGTTAGTTAAGTTAGGATAGAATGATTGACTGTGTCGAAAGGACAACCAACTTTAGAAAAATAAATAAATAAAAAATGTTAATATCAGAGATTGAAATTAATTATTTTTCTCCCAGTGAAAAAGTTATTTGATTTTGATATTCTAAATAGCAATCAATGTTACATTTTAATTATTTGAGTATAAATGACTTTCATATATTCTCCATCAGCAGCAGCCTTAGAACTTTGGTGTCCCCAGGCAATGACGTGGGAGATGATGTAAATATAATATAACTTTTTTCTTTAACTGTTTTTTATGAAGTAATATTGCAATTTTATTTCATTCAATATGTTTCTAATTCAGTCACTTTGTTAATAGGCTAAAATTATTTATTTTCATACTTTTTTTTTAATAATTATAAGTGGCAGGGCCTCTCCAGCTCGGTGCCCCAGGGAAATTGCCTGGATTTCCTGGCCCTAAGGCTGGTACTGTCCTTCATATTGAGGTCCATTATGGGGTTATCGAAAACCCTTTTTGTTAAAAAAACTATCAATTTTAAGATTACATCCTCATATATTGATTTAAACTTTTTGAATATTTTGGATATTAAAGTACATTGTTGGGTAATCAGAAGCACTTATTATGGAAATACCATAGATTTTAAGATTTTGCATTCTATTATCAATTTTCATTTTCTGGATATATTGATTGAACTCATTATTGATTGAATATTGGATTTTCCTAGGAGTTTATTATGAAAATATTATTAGTTTTAAGAATTTGTGTACAAGTATTGATTTATTATAACTTCTTGGATATTTTAGGTCTATTATTAGTTTATCATAGGTAAAAAGGAAATAAATATAAGATAAAATAGTAATAAAAAATCAGAGATAAAACAAGTTTTTTATTTACTAACCTATTCAATCTAATAACATTTTCAGTTCGACGAACCATCAAAGCTTGCTCCCAAAAATGAATAGCTTCAGGTAAAACAGTATTCTGTAAAATAAGAAAATATAACAATGTTTATATAAATAAATGCAAATATTTATTTCTTCACAAACAAAAACATGCGCATACCATGACACGGACAAACAATTTCATCTTATTGAGAAGTTGGTTGGGGTGGTCAGTCAAAAATACAAAGTAAAAATAAATAAATGAAATTATTTTTATTTTTGCCGACATTTTGGCCCAAAGTTAAAACAAAATAAATATCATTTATTTATTTTTACTTTTTATTTTTGACTAAACATACCAACCAGCTTCCCTTCAATTTTAACTACAGTGAAACATCAATCCACTATTATTTTCATCTTATATTATGTTGGTGTGTATTAGGCACTGTGTAGTGGTACCATAATTTAAAATTAAGAAGCCTCAAATCTGTAATGGATATAGTGAGTAGTTTTTAATATGATATCAAGTATGAATTTATGCAGCTATGTAATGTAAGTATTTTTCCTTCTTTCATTTCATTTCCTTATGATACCTTCTTGATATTACCTTTAACATGAATAAGGAAGCTCTATTGTAAATCCCCGAGTTAGCTCACTTTTGGTTATACCCGAAATAGCCCTTCACTGTATACTAATATGTTTGCTAGCTTTCATTGATTTAAGTGAGTTCAGTCTTAATTCGTTTATCAGCTTGTCATGTATATGTAAATTAGTATATTGGGTATACCTTGTTACCCAATTAATAATAATTACATTTCCTGACTTGTTAGTTTGAGATATGTGTTCTAATATGAATTCAGTGGTTTTTAGTATAGCAAACTTTCTGCGGTTTTCCAATAATTCAAAAACTTTCCTTTAAATTTTCTGATAATTGACATGGTCCCCTTCTTGTTTCAATTTAAATAAACATCTGTGTAGTCATTTTTGAATGGTAGTAAGTGAGAACCATAATTTTTGTTTGTTTATTTGGGATTATGTCTTTGCGTACTTCAACAAGGGCAGAAAGGACAGATTTCCTAAAGGAACCCAATCTATTCTAGCCATGGTGATAAGATTGATATTCATTCCATGCCTCCGCAATGAAATAAATTTTAAATCACCTAGGCCTAATTTCAACCAGCACCACTTCTGAATCTAGGCTGCTGAGGTGACACCTTCACATACTTTGCCATCATAGCCCCAGGACAATAATGAAATTTAACGATAGTCTCTGGATTTGTGAATTTTTATAGCCAACGTCATTTTATGTTATTGTGAATAAAATATTTGAAGCCTGATAGTACTTTCTGAACTTTGAATATCTGAACCATATATTCTATTTAAAATTCAATGAGAATCATTTCCCAGTAAGCAAGAAAAGTAAAAAGTTTTGTTGAGAATGTCTAGTGAGTTTTTGTGATCAAATAAAAAAATGTTTGTTAATTTAAGTATCTTAAGGAAATATTTTTAGACAATTAATTAATTGCGCTTCTTTCATTCATTCAGGATTTATGAAATACAACTAAAATAATAAGTATATTTTATTATGTTATTAATATTTTTATATAATAATTCTTAAAACATCACATTTTAAAAATTTAATAATTTTGTTAAAAATCGTTTTACCATCATTCATTGATTTTCATAACAATAATCAGTAAATACAATCAAAATCATTCACCACAACAAGAGATATAAGGAACAACCACGAGTGATAGTTACACGAGTGGAAAAAGATTTTTTTTTTTAAACAGATAGGAAGATTAATAAACAATACAAGTGCCATAAAGTAAAAAAAAATGAGTGCTTAACAAATGAACAAATTGTACTAACTTCCTAGAAATCAAAAAGATGCTAATCCTGATGATGGTGACAATGAGGAGATTGAAGAGTTTGGAAATACATACTATTTTAGTACAAATGACCCAAATAAAATTAATGACAACCTTTACTGACTATTTACAAGCCAATTAAACAAATACACAATATTTATTATTGTACAGGTTATTGGGAAAATGATTCCATTCATATATTTCCGTTTTCATTTATTATTGTACTATATGTATTCTGTTTTTTCTGATAAATTATCTATAATAATAAGCTATATAATAGATGTATTGATTCAAAATAAAATAAATATACGTATGCATGTATATGAACAATATTTTAATGTATCAATTTCAGAAATAAGTATATATGTGGTTAGAATTTTTAAATTAATCAAAAACGTAGAAAAACTATTTTTGAAATAGTTTTACATAATGAAAATTTCAGTATGTCTCAGATATATTTATATTGATGGTGATATTCAGATATGAAGAATAGTTCATTTCAAATGATATATTTGTGGCACTTGTACCAACATGCTTGGCCATCACAATCTCATGATAAATATGAAGAGAAAATATAGAATTAAGATCATAATACATTGAATAATCAATAATACCTTAGTAATTTTTATTTGAATTCACATAATAAAATGGCAGCTTTATAATTTTAAAAATATAAATAAATAAATATTGCTTATAATTTTAAGTTTTCATATATCATAAGATAGAAAAGAAAAACGAATTAAGAAAATTTTCAAGATTAGTATTGAAGCTAAAAATAAAAGAACTTGTAAGCAAAAGATTATGAGTATAACATTATAATTGAATCAACAGAGCAGTAAAACCAAAGCAATCAGATGTTAAAATCAGAGGCCTTCAGCAAGAAGAGAGCATTAATAAATACCAGATGAGCTATATAGAAAGGCAATGACAGAAGTATTGGAAGAGTATTGTGCTTGACTGTTATAATTACAGTAGCATCTACTTGTTATTCTGTGCCTATATAGTGTTTTCAAAGATATAATATCGAAAACTTCTCCTCTTTGCAGAACATGAAATTGGTTCATATCAGGCATGCTTCATGAGAGAGTTATCAACAGACCATATTTCCTTAGTGCAAAACGTTTTTGAGAAAGCCAGGGTGCACTGTATAAGCATTCACCGTTTATTTATTGATTACTGGAAAGCCTACGTTTCATCATCATCAGAGAGGAACTGTACAGAGGTTTGCTTTGAATAGGGATACCAGCCAAACTTATATGTATGATAACGCTTATGATGAAGGAAGTACTGTGCAACATTTGTTTCACATCAAGGTGACACTTCTTAAAGCTTTCACTCTTATAAACAGCTAAGGCAAGGTAACATATTAACAATGTAACTTGGTTCAGGAATGGGCAATCAAGAAATTAGGAATCCAGAAAGGAGGGACAGTACTCAACAAATCTGTAATAATCCTGGCTTTTGCAGATGATGTGGAAATTATCAGGACAATGTTTATGCATATGAGTAAGACATTTCCGAGACTTCAAAGAGCAACAGTTGGACTAAGGCTTGTGATGAATGAGGAAAGAAACAAATAAATTCTTGCCGGATGGGTCCAATGGACTAGAGAAGAAATAGAAGAAAATGGGAATTGAATCCACACTGCATCAAATTAAGAACTAAGTGACCCTCAACCCAACATACTTGGCCTTCATGACCTAATTTTACATACTGCATACCTATGTTCAATACGAAGAGAAATGAAGGCATTAAGAGAACAAAGCATTGAACAATCAAATATCCTTAACACCTGAATTGAATAAAACATTAATAACTTTTATTCAAATTCACATAATAAAACAACATCTTTAGAATTTGATCAAAATAAATATTACTTATAATTTTAAAGTTATCCAATATGATGATATAGAAAAGGTAAATAAACTATGACAATTTTCAAGGTTAGTATTGAAGCCAAAAACAGAAAGAACTAATTAGCAGAAAATTGTGGTTATAAATTATAATATAATCTACAGAGTAGTAAAATCAAATCAATACTTCTAACAATCAGATCACCAGAAAGAGGTAAGTAAAAGAAGTCAAGGCATTAAGTTAGAAGAAAAAAAACAAGGTTTCATGACATGGTTATTTAAATAAATCTAATCAGATACTAATGACTAAATACCTTTTATATATTTTATTCATTTATTCCCATTAAAAAATTATGAATAAAACTACAGGTCAACTCACATTTATAAGTAAAAATTTTTCTTCTTCAAGCCTGAAAAATAAATAAAACAAAGTAAAGTAAATATCTTGCAACAATAGTGGAATATATATATCAAATTTCATAAAATAAATATATAAATAAATAATAAAGGTATTTATAATTGTAGAAATAATTTTAGGAGAAGTTGGTTGGGGATAAAGTTTAAGGCTTGCACCTGCCATAAAAATCGAATTACTAGTCAAAAGTAACAGTTTACACTAGAGATGGGGAATTAGATTCTATTAACTGAATCGATTCAATCATTGTCATGAATGAATTCTTATGTACGATTGATTCTTTTCATCTCCTTTTTTTCTTTAAATTAAAAAAGAAATTTTTATTGAAAAAAAAAACAGTAAAATACATTACCAAACCTTATGGTTATTCAGATAAAAAATTTTATTTTAACTTATTAAAATTAAAAGTTCCAAATATATACAAATAAAGTCATGAATCTTATAAATAGGAAGGAAGTTTAAGTTGGACAGAAAAAGTTTTTATTTTTAATTTTACACATTAGATTTTGGCTGGCCTGTGTATATAAATTGTAACTGAAATGAAATATAAATTTATTATCCTGGGACTGATGACCCTGTAGAACAAATTATAAATAAACATGACAATATAGTCATACATTAAATTAAATATTTATATAATAATAACTAATTAAAAATAAAATACAAGAGAGAAAAAACTATACATATATATATATATAAATAAAACAAAGAGAAAAAATAAACAAATAGTAATGTAAATAAGTGTAGATTATAAATGTTCGACTATGAAATGCTGGCAGGAAAGTAGATGTTCCCAAGTGAATCGGGAATAGCAGATTCCTAAGGAATCGAAAATTGCCGATTTCTGAGGAATCCGGAGTTGGTGAATCGACTGGATCGATTCACTGGGTTTATTCTAAAATCTTCCAGCCTTATATTTTATTCAGTTTTATTTACATATGTGTACAGTTTTTTCTATCTTGTCCTTTTATTTTTAATTACCTATTATTATGTAAATATTTAATATAACATTTCAATTTTGTTCATTTTTTCTCTCTACTTGGTTTATTGATGTATGTATGTACAGAGTTGTTTTATCTCTTTTTTACTTTTATTTTAAATAATACCTATTGAATCGACCGATTCCAAGTGAATCGAGATTCTTTCATGTGAATTGCTTGAGAGATGGATTTCTTCAGAGGAATCGACTCTTTGATTCGATTCTCGATTCACCCATCTCTAGTTTACCTCATAGATTTCAGAAATGATTAAAATTTCCTCAAAAATGGTTTTAGCGAGTTGTGACAAAACTCATTACATTGGTGTAAAATTAAATGGTCTTTAATATCAGTAGTAAAGTCTTAACCTCATTGAAACAGACTGACAGAGCTTGAATGCAAACACGTAAATACCCATTTGCTTTCCACTTAAAAAGTAAGATAATTTGAGCACAAAATCAAGAAAAAATGTCATTTCAGAAATAAAAAATGAATTGCCTAGATTTCTAAACACATCAACAAAATTTTATCCTAATTTTTACAATTTAAAGTCATATTCTTTCTTCTATACATCATCATAACTTCCATTCATTCTACTTATTCAATTACAGCACACATTCATTACAGTCAAACCAGCTTAAATGTTTAGAATCCAATATCCAGTATACTTTCAGTCTTACCAAGCCCCTTATATATTATCAGTATTCTTTTAAAACAGTAAATAATAATTTACCTATATACGCTTTGATCATAATAAAGTAATATCCGTAATGGTTGATCAATACTCCTTTTCTTCATTATATGAGCTGGTTCTATGTGAACTCCATGAATAACCTAGAAATATATGAAATTTTAAAAGTAATTAAACATTATATCAATCATAAAAAAGGCACAGACAATATTGAATAATAAAATATAACTTCTAGAGAACATCTTTTTTGCAAAATGGGTATTACTTTCAACATAAATTAATAATATAGTATTAACTACATGAATTCAGAAAGTATTAGAAGAACACACACACTAATTAAAATATTGTTTTATTGTTAATAGTTTATAAAATGCATGTAATAAGTATTGAACTAACAGGAATGTAGTTCCCGGTTATTTTAGTTAGATCCCACACCTCACCAAAGTACTTATAAAATCTAAACATATTTCCCACTCTTAACATATTCTAATGATTAAAAAAGGAACTGCTATTCACATAAGAACCTTAGTCTAGTTTTAACAAGTAGGCAAACACCATTCTATACATTAAATCAGGAAAATAAAAGGAATGATAGATTGGTAAACAGTAAAAATTACGATATTTCAATGTTAATATTTATTCTTGAATTTTCGAAAGTCATATTTCTGGAGTTGCCACTGAAAAAATTAGACCTTAATCCAATAGAGTATGTTTGGATATAGCCTGAGAGCCATCTAAAAAAATGGACATTATCTGAAGAAAATAATATTTGGAATCGTCATAGCATTTATATTAAAAAAATAAGACGGCCAGTCCAATCATCAACTTGAAAAAATCGTGAATCCTTAAAAAGGCCAACTTTCCAAGAAAAAAAACGCATTACATGAAGACAATTAATTTAAGTCTTAAACAATACTAGATCATCTCTTGAATCAAATCACATTAGTCTGAATACCTGTGGCCAGTAAAAACCTTTCAAAACCTGCGAATTTGGGATCCAAAAATATCATAACATGAAGATGATTAAAGCCTGTTTGAAACAAAACTAGCCCCAACCCTCTAGTGCATAACCTTTCATCCAAAACAATTCCTGACAAACCTCAGAGGCGTCTGAAAAGAAGATGGCCAAGGGACCTCCTAAATCAATCTAATCATTGAAGTGTTACCAATGGGTAGCTTCTTCCATAAGCTTATGTCATGTTTTATATTCTTAAAGCAGATTTACTTTTTTTATTTATAAAGGTGTAAATTTCAATAAATAAATTTAAAAAAAAAAATAATAATACTAGACCACTTGAATCAATTTATGTTAGTCTAATGGCTTATGCTTGCTACATGTTTATCATGTTTTTATTATCAATTATTTGTTTTTAATAAAGAAATACAAAAAGGTCACAATATGAAGTTTGCAATTTTTTTTCTTATGTTATCCCCTACCTGGCCATTTCTAGAGGTACAATTAAACCTATTCTAACCAGAGTGGGAAGAATGAGATTCATTCTATGGATCCGCAAAAAAATTAATTTCAACCTGCCCAGGACAGATTCGAACCGGTGCTGCTAGACAGGAAAATGTTAAAGTAGGCATCATCTCAACACACCTGTATGGTTATCATGGCTTGTATTTTGTGGTCTGTACTCCCACAAATTTCTCAACCTTATTATATTGGTGGTGTCAAATGGTGATTATTTTTAATCCTGTCTGGGTAGTAAGTAATTCCGATATTTTCATAAATCTTTTTTGGTATTAATTAATTTCTTACATTAGTTTCCATTTACATTCTTCCAATTATTCTATTCCTACTATTATGGTGTTATATATACCAATTGTCCCTACCTTTGCTTCTATTTTATATATTTTGCCAAAAACGTTAGAGGAAAAGAATGTCATTCTTGGTCTTATGAGGCACTACTGGAAAAAAGGACCAGAACAGGACTTAGGGTATTATTTTAAAAATGACAAATAAGAAATTAAGGTTAAAATAACGCAAAGTCAAATTCTCATCATTAATACACTTTTATTATAAAAACATAATTACCATAACTAACTTAAAATAACTAAAGAAGTAAAAATGAAAATCATGGGGTGACAGGAAAAAAAAACCCACCGCCTCCCCCCCCCTTCACCATTTCTGCTTTTCCCATTATAATTGGTCAAAGTGTTCCTCCCCAGAATTAGAACAAGCATGGATTATCAAATATTTTAAATTTACAACTGTTATACTATCAATATTGTATTATATTAAAAAAAAAAAGAAAAATTATTATTAAATTTAAAAAGAAATTTATAATCATTTATAAAGTCCTAACTCAAATGTATTTAAAAAACTCACACCCAATAAAATCTCAAGGAGCATTGAATTTAAGAACATAAAAACTTAATTATGGGATAATATATAACTAGGCAAAATAAGCTCTGAAGACACCATAAAATATACAGATTTGCTGAAAAGTATGTAGAAGACCTATCGTTAATTTAATTTTAAAGAGAAACTGATAAAAATCAATTTAATATTTTATTAACTATCCTGTTGACCAAACTACTTGATCAATGGACATATAAACACTAGTATTGAGACAGTTGAAAGAATCATTAAGATCTATAAACATTCAGAAATATTCATAATCCCAATGAACTGGAAAATTATAATGAAAATAAACTTGAAAAAGTATAAATAAATTAAGAAGAGGGCAAAACATACAAGGAGAATAAACAAGTCTTATTTTAAAATTAAATTTAAAAATAAAAATAAAACATGGATGTGTTTAAATATAATTAGAAAATGCATTGTTAGTGAAATTGATTAAGAACTATGATTAAATAAAATAGTTAAAGTAAATCATATAATTTTATCAATAATTAAATCAAAGCAGTATGTCTTTGTACTCCAAGAAAATTATAATTATATAAAAATACTGATAAATTAAAAAAAAATACAATAAAAATAACTTTATTTTAATTTAATGTGTTCTCTCCTGAACAGATTTCTTAAATAGCTTTCATCTTTTGACACATCTGCCACCTATGATGTAAACCATTACGACATAATGACGCAACACTAGTTGCAAGGACAGTTTTATAATTTTTTAATAAGGGCACTACATAAGAATTAATAATTATACATTAATAATTATACAAACATATTTTTATTGTAAATCAATAGAATTCATTAAATGGATATTAAAGGATACTAAATATGACATGACTCTAATTTATATTCACAACCAATTTCTAGCAGATAATCAATAATAATAAGTAATGTAAACTCTAAAATGAAGATTATCACATACTCAAAATTATGTTGAAAAACATTGCATAAATGCAACATAAAAAAGTTAATTATTGTTCCGTTTTAGCAATATAAATCCATTGACAATATACTAATAATGCAACTTCAGCCATTTCCAAATAACACAAAAATGAAAACTAATGTTTATAAATAATTTCAAAATTAATACAAAGTATTAATATTATACACCACCACACTTAACGTTCAATAATTCAGAAACATTAAGTTACTTATGATAATAAAAGATAAGTAAAGCTGTCGCAGGAACATTAAAAATTTTAAAAACGCAACTTCTGATTTGAAATAACTTAAACAAGAAGTAGATAAACTGTCAGGGGATTAGAAATTCATCAATAAGAGACAATTCAAACCTATGAGGAAATGTTACTTTCCTGTTTACATTGAGATAAAAATAATAAGTTTTTAATTAATCAGGAATCTGGTACAAATAATAAACATTAAAAACAAATGGATTTAATTAATTAAATCATTTTTATTTGAAACAGAATAAGACAAAAATATACCAACTTCGTGAAGTTTAGGGTGGATATGTTTACAGTTTCTGTGAGAAAACAGGCCTTCTGCACTAGTTATAATTGTAATAACAAACCCAACACAGAAACTCCAATAAGAGTGTATCATTTTAAATTGGAAATTCCTTTTTAAAATAAGGAAAGTTCCTGTGGCGTTTCATTCCACAAAACTTGGTTTATCAGCTACATACGAACAACAAGGATCATTCCTGATACTAAAAGATTTCAAAAAGTCAACTGTTACAGACTGACATTCACGAGTGAAAGTCGGCCTTATTCCAAAGCAACAGAAATTATAAGAGAACGTAGCCTTCACAGTTAAATTAATAAAAACAATCTAAGATTGTGATTTACAATTTCTAGTGTTAACTTCCTATTTCACCTCCAATTTCATTCTCAACATCAAACATCACCTACCGTATAATTATTCAAATTTAATAAACATCTTTTTAAATTCCACGCTTGTAAAATAAATTATTGATCACTTAAAATTTCAACGTGGACTGATTTCGTGATTTTATAGTTTTATACAGTTCATGGTATAAAAATTCCATATTATGTTTTAAAATATGATAGATTAACAAACATCAATAAAGAGTAATTTAACGGTTAGAAATATTAAATTAAATTACCAAAAAACAAAACCGCATTTGACAGTTTTACAGCAGTATAGAAGGCTAAAAGATTTCCAACTCAATTTCCTTGACAATTATTCCTATAACGGGTTTGATAAGATGCTAATTCCTACATTCGTAAAGTCATCTACATGCCTTTTCATTTACCTTATAATACAGTAGAAATAAAGTGCCTGTGCTGAGTAGTTAAAGGTGCATCCAGAAAGAGCCAAATCGAAACCTGCGAAATTTGATAAAGACCTAGTAGACTAAGCTGCAAAAGCATCAAGATTTAACGGCTCTATAGTTTTCTTACTGAGTTCAATTCGTTATTGAGAAATATTAAAATCTGTCTCGTCTAAGGGCAATAGTAATAGTGATAGAAGAGTAGCTTATTCACGCTATGTACAATAAACAAAAATAAATAAACAGCAAAATAAAAATACTAAAAGTAAATGTATATAAACTAAAAGAAGCTACACTTGTTGGATTCTTGGATTGGATGATATGATTGCGGTGTCATCAGCAAATGCTGCAAGGATGGTGGTATCGGAATGAGAAGGGAGATCAGCGGTAAAAAGGATGTAAAGCACGGGACCAAAGGCGCTGCCCTTATGAACACTGCCTTTAACTGGATAGATATCGGAAAAACAATGCTGGATGCTGTTCTATAGCATAAGGAAGGAACGGTCAGAGAGGTAGGCCCTCGACTAATATAAGAGAAGAACTACCCCATCTTCAGAAAGTTTGTCAACGGGTGGAAGAAAGTGGTGGGCCCTTCTCACTTCTCTCTTGGTGCGTCTCCATCAGTAAGGTGAACATCCATGGACCGGGCCGAACCACAGTTGAACCTAAATTATTGTTTCCACATTAAACTATCCTTTAATGTTGTAAAATAAGACATGTTGTGAATGAAGTATTTTATTGGCAGCAGTGGGCGTACGTATACCCAACGTATTAACCCACTACTGCCGAAACCCCGTTAGCCAGGAACGGCTGGTAGAGAAAAAAAAAAGGTCAGAGAGGTAGGATTGAAGAATGGGGTATAAGGACTGAGGGAGATGGATTTTAAGCTTGAAGAGCAGCCCGGTGTGCCATATCCGGTCAAAAGCCTGTGCTATGCCCAAAATTGAACCCGAAAAGTATTGATAGAAATATAATAATAGCAATAGAAAACATAATAATAAGCTAGTTTCAACAACAGTTAACAGATATAGTTGTTGAAATATTACAAACAGGATAAACAATCCATCTTAGGATGTATTCATCAGATAAGATGTGTTTCATAGTAGCATAAAAATAAAAACCAAAAGGACTTATTTGCCAACCGATTCAACGTTTCATTGCAAAACTCCATATTGCCATCTCCATGGAAAACTGTCCAAGTATGACCTTTGAATAAAATTTCTAATCCCTCCGCACTGCACGACTTCCGTCCTAATTCTCTCACTTCTAACCGTTCCAAACCGTTAGAACGCCTTGACCACAGCCAGCTTTCCAATATCCTAGAGGAACGTTCACTCATCAACCCATTCCAATCTGGCTTTCGATCTGGCCTCTCAACCCAATCTGCATTCCTTAAAATAACCGACGACCTCCAAAACTCCAGTGAACACCAAAACCTTACTATCCTCATCCTTCTAGATTTTTCGAAAGCGTTTGACACAGTTTACCACAACATCCTCCTTACCAAATTGCAAATTTTCATCTATCCAGCAGTGCCCTGCGCTGGTTCAAATCTTTTCTCTCAGATCGGTCAATCTCCAACTAAGACTTTTACCCGTTCCCGGTCTTCACATTTCTATTCTAGGTCCCATCGAACTGCTGCTTTCAACAGATCGTTCCTTATCCGATCCTCTTCCTTATGGAACTCAATACCTTCTTACATCCGCCGCTCCATCACCCTCTCTACCTTTAAATCCCGCCTGTTTTATCTATTCAGTCCCCATAAAATTGCAAATAGATGTCACTGTAAATATGTATATAAATTATTTGATCGTTATTAATTATTTTTACCTTAAGTATTTAATTTGTTATTTCTTAATTTATATATTTTTTTTTAACTTAGAAAGCAACTTTTTTTTTATTATGACTACTTATTTACTTTACGATTTTTTATGTAGCTCTGAGGCTCCATATCCCAAATTTCTGTATTATTATTCTAAAGGGGCTTGTCCCAGGATAAATAAAGTATTGTTATTATTTTAGAATGTCGCACTTTCTTGAATTTTGCCAGAAATATTCACCTACCCGGATCATGGTCAAGGTTTGTGCTCAAACTTTAATCTACGTTTAAAAACTTTCTAACGATGTTCGCTGTGCTGAGGAGAACTGTTTTTTGCCCTTCTTGCAATACTTTTTCTGTCAGCTTCAATTTCTCAACAGAGTGGGTGGTTTCTCCTGGAATGAGGACATTGCTGGATAATACAACCGGATATACCTGCGCATGATTCAATCTATAAAGTTGCCGTAGCTCTTAGCTCAGGTATTATTATTATTTATATTTTTCATTCTCGCTTTGTGGGGTGAGTTTCTGAGGTAGGAGACCAGAAGTTCACCAAAAAACAGCCATTTAAAGAAAAGAGAAATATAGATACAACTCATCCTCTAAGACAAATTTTCTAATGCGATATAAAAACAAATTATTATCGTAACCAGCATTGGCGGATCCAGCAGGTGTGTGCGCCCTTCTCTCCCTTGTATGATAGAATATAGGGAAAATTCATCCTTATAGGGGAATTTTCTAATGTAATTTTTAAAAAAATTGTTTGTGTATTTAATTGTTGTTACCAGTACTAGCGAATTCTGTCAGGAGGCGCTTCCCCCTTCTTGGATGGTGACAAAAATTCCGAAGAAGATCCAAAAAACAACTATTTAAAGAAAAGAGAAATAGAGATTAAATTAATCTTCAATCAAGAACTTTCTAATGTGATATAAAAAAAAAATCATTATAACCATTTTTATTAATCTTGCGGTTTGTCATATCACGTCATCTCACCACGCTACGGATCAACTAGCACGGCCTTTGAGGCACGGTGGGATTTCGTGAAACAAAGAATAGAATGGAAGAACACAAAAGTTGGCTCCCAGGGTGAAGTGATGGAGTTTTGGAGCTGCCGCGCAGTGGGATGAGTAATGGAAAACTCGCGACATCGTCTAAATCTATTTTTTTAATTGAACTATTCAATAAAAACACTTAAAAATGTACATTTTACCAGCTAAAACTATTCTCATGAATTCCATATCAAGGTATCAATAAAACAGTTTATCTAGTTTTGGGGGTTATTAGAAAAAAACAAATTGATTTAGCCGATGTCGCGAGTTTTCCCTTACTAGTCCTACTGTGCGCCGTGAGCTGTGAAGGCTTTTGCTCCTGTCGCAGTGTGTTCGTACTGACTCCTAACTGAATCTCGCAGGTGAAATACATGATGGAGTAAAATTAATTTATTAAAAAAAAAAACCGAACTTTACTTATTTTTAAGAACAACCTTTTATTCGAGCACAAGAAAATGTGGTTTTTCTCTCAGACTCAGTTTTCATTCAGTTCCAATAGGTCTGAACGCATTGCAACCTCCATCGACTACAGTCTCCTTGAAGAATTCATGCAATTCATAAAATTGGTCACGATAATAATTAGTATAATTCTCATCAGAAAGTGTTTTTATTTTCTTAAAATAGCAGCTATTGGGAACTTTTTTTTATGAAGGAAGGTACTAATTATTTATTACTAGTTATATCTCCTATATGATCAGGACCGAAATCGGAATTTATTCTCTTAGAGAGCTCACTTCTATGCTGCAGGGCCATTTATGGTAATCTCTCTCAGTTTTTGACAAATTTGGAAAAAATGTCGTTCGTTGACCTTGGTTATTAACCATATCACTTAATCAAATTATTAGGTTTAGGTACTTGTTCGATACACAATTTAACCTTCTTTAATTTCTTATAGAGTACGTTTTTCACTTCGATGACTTATTTAGTAGTAATAGATGAAAAAAAAAGATCGCCTTTTTTTGCCCGTACAAAGATTTCCCTTGATCCGCGATAGCAATTTTGTTTTTTACATGTCTAAACCCATATACAGGTTGTCCCGTAAGTATAGGGAAATATTTAAAGGAGTAATAGCAGAACTCAAGGGCTGCAAAAAGATTATATAAACAATACAATAGTTCGATTTTCAGAAGGAAAGTAGGAAATTAAAGCTCCGTGTTTCTTTAAGTGTCTCGCTTTTTTACTTTCACTTACCTATTTATTAAACATATAGTAATAGAAAGTATTGCGATCGTGAAAATTTTCGAATCTCAGTTTTCAACGGTAATACACGTTTTGAGGTCCCCTGATTCCAAATAACATAGTCCAAATAACTCTAATATAAAAGACAGTTAAATATAAAATATGCAAGAATTTGATAATTAACTAAAGGAGAAATATGAGATCGTAACGGAGAATAGTTGTAATTGAGGAACCAGAGGAATACGAGCGCACCCTCGCCCGAAACATTATAACGCGCTTCCGTACATAACATGAGCTTAATATAATACAGACTCCGACAATATTATTTAAATATACATATGCAGTTTTCATAAATGCTATTGTTGCTATTATTTAATATTTAATTGTATAGATTACAACGATATAAATAATAAAATTTGTATATATAAAGGTACTTATACAAATAAAAATACCCACCATGAAATATTAATAAATATAGCGTTTATAATGTTTACTTTCACTTCTCCGTTGTCTGAAAATACTTCGCAATTCTTCTTCTATCCAAGAGCTCTCAAGGTTTTCCGGGAAAATCCTCGATTTTCCCATAAACTTTTCCAATAGGCTTCAATGTCATCAGGGCATTTCCTAGATATATATATATATATATATATATATATATATATATATATATATATATTTTTTTTTTTTTTTTTACAAGGTTTCTATAAAATTGGCGTTCATTCTGCTTGAACAGCTGATTTTGTTTCATCCGTAATGCTGCCTCACTATATCTACGCAATCTGCTGGAGTAAACTGCCTGCTTTTGTTTCAGACTATCTAGATATAGAGTCAGTCTATCAATTAACTCACTTTCCATGCGGTTCCAAATTCTGTACTATAATCTTATCTATTTTCCTTTATGTCTTAGGTCTTGCAGATTGAAGGTTACGAATATAGTTTAAGATGAAGCCAATTTTTCCACGTAAATTATCAATTTTCCTTTTAAGTCTTTTCTTCCACTGTGGTATTCCTCTATATCCTATTGGAAGTTTATTTTTACTTCTATCTCCTATTTTTATGCCCAGCTCTATTGCAACTATCTTGGTAGCAATATATAACAAATGAGGAATATCTTGGACGCCATTAATTAGGGCTATATTTCCCTTAAGAACATTATTCATTTTAATTGTGGCCTTATTGTACGGTACTCGGGGAAATGATGGTAGCTCCTGAAGCGGCATTCCCTCAAGCAGAATATGCTCGGTCAAAAGTGGTTGGCTTAATCTATTTTCTATATCCGCGTCATCCATTTGTTTTGCTGAATCTTTAATACCGACTGATGCAATGACTATACCAGCATTTGAATCTATTCTTGTATTCAGCGCTCCATCACAGAGCTCAACATCATTTTCAATGGCCATTAACACACGAACTTTGTCTTGTTTGTTGGAGGTCATTCGAAGTAAGAAAATATCTCGTAAGTATTACTCTTACCTGATCACTCAGTCTCTGCGTGCTTATATTAATATCCGGGAAGGACTTACGCCAGTATCTCTATATACGGTTCAGATATCCTGTTTCCTTTCTTTCAAGTTTTGTTGCCAAGCAGTATGCTCGGATGACAGCCATATTCATATTTGGCGTCCATTTCATCCTATTTGTACCTCTTGGTCGCTGTTGCCGAATTCGCACGGGTGGAGAATGTCTCACCTCCAAGCTCGAACTCGAACGATGGACCGGTAAACGTTGCAGCGATGCGGTCCGTGACGACAGGGTAGTGCTGCTCGCTCCACTAGCCCATGAAGGAAGCTGTCCACTGTTTCCGCCTGATGCAGTTCCATATTCCATATATAGTTCCATATTTAATGAGTAAGTGCATTTTAAACCTTCCTGCCAGATGATTTAAGCAGCCGCCTCTGACATGGGGAACAGACGCTGACCAGGTTGCCGCCCAATTTGAGAACCGTCGTAGCTGGATTTTGCTAGTTTTGGTTCGCCCCGGGTATTATTTCCGCAGCACCCATCATATTTGGTGAGTATTCCCCTATTCGCCACCTGAGAGACTAGCAACACCTTGCGGGTTATTATTATTATTATTATTATTGATATTGAAGTTGACTCCATCAATGCTCAAATAACTTAAAATGGTACTAAAATACTTCATTCAAAATATTAATTTAAAACTTTTGATTAAATTAAAACAATATAATATCAATATAAAGGAAAATTTTTGCTGCATTCAAAGTCTCGTTTTGCGCTTATACATTTTTTTTTTAAATATGTAAATTTATTGTTAGGCAAATATTTTTTATAAAATTAATAAAAGTAGTATTACAGTTATACTTAAGGTGCGTTTCGACATCTCACAAACACAATTATCTAACTTAATTTTACAACGGCATTATTGTTGAACCAAATTATTTACTTTATTTCTCTTGATACCGGCAGGAGATAGAAAATATTAAAAACTTGAATCGAAACTACTAGCATAGTGAAATAACGATTTATATATTGGTTTGTTCTATAGTTTGTAAAATGTCTAAACGGACATCGAAACTTTTAAATTAAAAAATATGTAGAATTGATTATTGATTTCTTTAATTGAAACCAATGCGAATATACGAAAACTTTTGCTAGCCGCTGTCTACGATCTGGGAGTACATATGGATGTGGAGTATTTAAGCGTATGCTAGCGCTTATTAAACATCGATGATAACACGTAATACCAGAGTAATAACGTTAATAAAATCTTAAATTGACATAGAAAATTAGTTGAATAAAGCGTTAATTTAATATTCTTTCATATACTTATTAATTACAATAGCTATTAAATTATTGTGTTGAGGAAAATTTACGTGTTGTTATTAAGAGGTCCGGAGAAAAAGTCGAACCAAGGAGGGTCCAAAATTAAATTCAGCCAGGATCATTAAGGTTTAATCACTTTATTTAATAAGAATTTTAATTCAGTCTCAGTGCTAGAACATAAGATTGCGATATTACAATAAAGGATACTTGGGCACGGGAATATTTTTTTGACACTGGACGTTTGTTGAATAATTTCAAGAAGTGTTTTCAAATTAATATTTTTCCTCTCATTTTAATGTTTAATTCATAATCAGATAGAAATTATGAATGTATTTAGCAGTAGATAAAATAAATGAATAAAATAAAATTCAACAACTTTTTCATCTTCAAGAAAACACTAAAAACTTTTGCACTCTAAATAAAATCAAAGATGAAAAAAACAAAAATTTAGTGGAAAAAAAAAATCTGGCAACTCTGTTCCCATCCCTACTAGAGAACTGGGAGCCCTGACTTTGGGAGTTAAGAGAACCATGTCACTATTCTCTTATGATTCGCTTTCTTCCTCTTTGTAAAATTCTAATAATCGATGTATAAGATCAGATTCTGTTATTAGTCAGTTGTTGAACTTTTAAAAGAAAGTTCGTTGTTTTGTGGATTAAACATTTTCATATTACTGTAGAAATTTAAGATGTCTGTTGAAGTTGAATTGCCTCAGGTACTATTTTCTCATCTTTTACCAGATATATCAAGTTAAAAAAAATATATTATCAATTCAAACTGTGTTTATTAACTTTATTTGTTTTACGTGTGTTTCTAACTAATTCTGTTTATAGAATTACTTTAATAAGTTACCCATTGGCAAATAATCACAATTCTGGTATTTACTAATTTGAATAAATATTTTTTTGTGATCGAATTGTAAATGTAAATCATGTAAATTTCTTCTTTAAAGTTCGTTTCTTTTCACAGGTTTTAGGTATAGTGGTTATTTTTTCAGACAACAAATTTGTAATTATCCTTTGTCAATTGTTTCAGGTTGAAAATAACTTGAGATCTCTTAATTTATCAGGGCATGTTGGTTTTGACAGTTTACCAGATCAACTAGTAAATAAGTCTATCCAGAATGGTTTCATATTTAATATTCTCTGCATTGGTAAGATTATATTTAATATACTGTTGCTTTTGCTGCTGTGAATGTCTTTAATATAATGTTAATATATCGCCTTATTGTTAAAGTGATATTTCAATAGCTTTTGTTTAAGTTCTTCGTTCTATGCTATTTTTTCATAGCAATAAGTTATTCAATTGAAAATTTAACAAGTAGTTAAATTGATTTTAGTTTAGGATGCTTCACAACTTGGTGACGAGGAATATGTTGTAGTATTGATGATTCATCTTATCATAAGTCAAAGTAACACAGATTTTGTGACATTGATGACTCATCATCATAAAACTATGATAAAATGAAGATTAAGTTGTTACATACTCAAAGAATAAGAACTATGATATTTAACTGCTATTTCACATGCCTTTTTTTACTATCTTATCAGTAATCAAAGTAACAATAAAGATTATGTGACATTGATGACTCATCATCATAAAACTAAGACAAAGTTAATATTAATATGTTATTGTGTATGTACATGATGAATGAGAACTAGTTTTGATAGTTAACCAAATTTTGAATGACTTCTTTGACTATTTTACATTTAATTGTGTTTAGTTTTATTTTTTCTGAGAAATTATTGCAGTAATTTTGAATAATTACTTTTACTATGGAATGTACCTACATGATCATTAAATAAAATGGATTACTAGACTTTTTTGTAGAATTCCGAGTGGTAGTTAAAGGCATGACTTATTTTTATTTGTTTACTGTTTGGTTGAATTGAAATTTATAGAAATTGATCTTATTAATATTGAATTACTTGCTTATTTCATAATTTGAAATTCGATATTTTTTTATGATCATCATGCACAACCGTCGACCTAGAAAATGTACTTCCTTTATAAATTACTGAAACAAAGACCCTACATGGATTGTTGTGGTTCAGTTTTTTTTTTTTTTTTTATAATTTAGGGTTAGTTGAAAAACTTACAGAACTTTTTTTTATTAAAAATAACTCGGAACCTATGTTGTAGGTCTGTATGTCGAGCAATGGAGAAAAATTCAAATAAATTCTTGTTATTAATTATTATTGAAATAATTGTAATTTGTGTTAAATTGAAATAAAAAATTGATTGTAAGGTTAATCTGAGGGACCAGAGTTTACCTTAAACAACTCTTACATCTTTATTTTTAAAAAAATTAAAATTGCATTGAAAAAATATTTCAAAATTTTACTATTTTACCAAACTTAACTAAAGCCAAACCATTAATGTAATTTTTTACTTCTACTTATATACCCTATATATAAAATATATTGTTAGGGAAAGTATTTTAATCGTGAAAATTTTGAATCCTAGTTTTCAATAAACATATTGGTTTGGTTGAGCATGTGAACAGTAGAGTTGTAAAACAAAAACAAAAAAAAAAAATTGGATTTGTGTCTGAGGTAGGTTTATGGCGGGGCTAATATTGATTTTACACATTGTTATTATTTCCTCAAAAACAGCTCTTATGATTTTGTCTAAAATCATTGAATAATCTGACGGGACTTAAATCTCAAATTTTCAAAATTTTCTCCTCAGGTTTTTAGAAATAATTAAAGGTCTCTTAGTAGTAGTAATAGAAAATGGATAAATACGAACTTCAAAAGAATTAGAAAATTATCTAAAGGAAAAAGAAAGAAGTAAGAACAGTATAATAAATACCCTGTACCACGCAATCCATGAAGGGTCTTGGATTAATAATTTGTTAGGTAGTATGGGTGATGAATATTCTGGACGCAGTCTTTTTAAATTTTTTATTTATGCCAATGTTTTTCCAGTGTTAGGTAGTACGGTTTCAAGGCCAAAAGTTGTGCGGCGAGGTGATTAGACCAGGATGGCCTAATCTATCGCATAGAATAAATTTGTGTGTGTATTCTATTCTCTGTGTTCAACTGCCAAATTTTTCCTTTTGAGGGAGTGGGTTGGCCGAGCAGGCTAACATGTGTGCACAGCACCGTGCGTTGCCTGGCAACCAGATAACCGAAGTTAGAGACGGAAAAATAATTACGAGTTCAAATCCCGATGCGACTTTTAACTCGTTATAATTCCCCTGCCCTCTCTCCCGGACTAGGGAAAATCCCATGTAGCCTAAAAGGCAAGGATGGCGGTGGCAAGGAAAAAAAAATTTTTTCTTTTAGGTATTAAATTAAGAGGAGTATAGAGGTGTAATATTCTGTTGGGAAGCGGAAGAATTTAGAGAATTAATAATAATAAATAATAAAAGGCTTAGCGAATCCGAAGGTTCGATACAGATGCCACCAATTACTGTCTATACACCTCCCTCCATCAGCAACCATTCGGTACAGTGTATATTAATTTTTTAGGGATTCTTTCATAACTAATCCCAACTATTTTATTCATCTCAATTATATTCACCGGATACAGTTCATGCCATTCTGTGTTGTGTAATCTTCTAAATTTTCTGGTTGACCCGTCCCTTTATGTTGAGAGCCACATTTCATATCCATAAGGAACCGCTGGTGAGATTATGGTTCTGTAAATTCTAATTTTTAAGTTTCGGGAAAAGAGGCGTGAGCCAAGTAGTTTCGTTTTAAACTTCTCAATGTGTTCAAACATTCCCTTCTATATCATTATCACCGAAATAGTCGCCATTTTTGCAACTTGCCGTATATTTTGTATTTTCCGTATTCATTACATTCTCTTGTATTACGTTTTATAGTTTCAATGTCTCTGCTTTACAGGACTAAATCATTAGCATAACCAAGTACGGATATTCTTTCACCCATATTCAAATATTTGTTGGTACGTTACATCTGAGAAAATTAATATCTAACTTATTAAATCGTTGTATATTAAGTTCTTAAATAATAGAGAATAATAAAAAACTTGTTGACTTTTAATTATTGTAGTTAATATCTTCTACTTTTATATTATTGAATGAAAAACAAATGTTTCCTTGCAAAAGTAATGGAAAACTTTATAATTTATTTTTAACTTGATGAACCCAAAATATGTTCTGCTCAGAATTATATTAATTGTTGTAAGTTTGTTTTTATAATTAAAGTAATATTCTTAAGGTTTATTCATTTTAAAAAAATAATAATTTCTACTGAAAGTAGGATGGTATATGAAAGTTTTGTGATCTGATTTTTTATTAAGTAAAACCAAGTACAAATAAACATTTATTTCAAATTATTATTTATTGCATGATGCACTAAAAAACATATTTGTTTTATTTTAAATTTGAAAATAAAAGAATAAGAATTTCATTCTTTATGCTCTGTAGTTAATAGTATAATATTTTTCTAATGAAATTTCCTTTTTTTTCTTACATTTCTAAATCAAACAGCCCTACTTATACCTTATGTGGCTCATTCAATCACTTTATATATTTTTATTTTATTGTAATTACCATTAAGAAGAAAGTAGGTACTGCTATTAACTTAATTGATTTAGTTCAAAACACTCTTTACACATCTTGTTTTAATTTTTTTAAAGCCTATTAATGTATGGAATTATAGTTTTCAAGGCATAATATATATTGTTTTCCTAATTGGTATGCAACTTTTTCTTTTCTGGTTATTTTTCTCAATTATGAGTTAAAATTGGCTTACTGGATTTTAAAAGGTCATATACCAAATATTTCATTGGTTGTCATCTTGCCAAATCCATTGACATTTGTTTGAACTTTAAGTTGTATGCCAAACTTGTAATTTGTCTTTTTCGTTATTTTTTTTCTGTCTGTAACCATTTATCTCAATTTCTTGAAATTGTAAATTTTTGTTTTATGTTTCACTTTATTAAAAAGTTATATACTTTATAATTGTTTATTTATTTATTATTATTACTTATTATTTATTATTTATAATTAAATGAGAGCTTTTTATTTTATAGAAATTTAATTAATAATAATAGCTTCAATTTCTGTAAAAAATCTTGTATGTTGGATATTACTCTTTATGGGTAATTAGTTAAAATTGTAGATTTAGGTCTGACTTCTGCAATTAATGAAATTGGAATATTGTGTAAGATCAGCTTACCTTGGGTTCCACATGAAACATAGACGACTGGCAGACTTAAAGGGAGTAATAGAGAGAGAGGGCGAGGAAACAGTTTCACCCTCCCCCACTCTCTTCCCTAATATTTGGGAATACAAAAATAAAATCAAAATCTATAACAAATAATCTGCATGAATGAATAACTAAAATCAATTAAGAAAACAATAAAAGTCTTCTAGATGGCTAAAGTTTATGTTTTATCATATGATGCTGCAAAGGTGGATGGGATAAAAATTTAAGAGATAATGCTACATAACACTGGGGGACATACAATGTCGGGGTAAATATTTTTTAGGAAGAAACAAAGTTGATATTTGTTTTCAAAAACTCTTAATTGCATATTTTTCAATCAATTCAAAAATAAAAATGTTTTGTTTCAAAAATTGTGTCTAATTAGACCCTTTAGTTTTTTTTTTAAATTGTGATAATTTCAAGATTACTTCCATGATTCACACACAACAATCAGGAATTAATGATTCTATAGACTAGCCATAATAGCACAAACTTAATTGTGACAAAAAGAGACAAAAATAATGGAAGGATTGATAAGTAACATTTTTTTAAGTTCTAAGGAAAACTGAATTCAATTCACCTTTACATTCTATAATGCTATGGTCACTTGAGATGTTATTCATGCTGGACAAGTCTATGAAATAACGCAGTGAATATGGACACATTAACATAACAGTGGTGGCTAGACTTAACTTTTTTCATTCATAAGACACCACTGACTGCTTTGTTATATTGTTTCCGTATTTACTGCTTTTTTCAGGTGGCTATATATCATCACATGATAACTTAATCAACTCTATTCTAAGCCAAATATTGAATTTATTTGAATGGAATGAGGAATATTAAAAATATACTACTTTACATCTTTATGCTTAGCACTAATTCAATTTTTCCAAAAATTTAACCCATAACGTTTATTCACTTCTCGACCCTTCAATGGTTAGGATATAATTGAAAGATTCTAATTGTAGGTTTAATCAATATAATTTTCATTGTAAATCATCAACATCTAATATTTTCTTCTGCCTGATTTTAGATAGAAATTGAGTGTAGCTCTGATTTTGATAATATCTAATCACAACCATTTGTTAACTTCTATAAAAATATACTGAACTTATTGTTTATTTTTTGCATGAAATTGTAGTCACTTAGATTAATTTTATTTTATTCTAATTTAAATTATTCAAGTGAATTATATTGTTATATATAAGTATTATTGCAGTATGAAAAATGTTCTTTGTGCAGGTGAGACCGGGCTGGGGAAATCTACTTTGATGGATTCGCTTTTTAACACTAGTTTTGAATCAACACCAAGTCCTCATACTTTACCATCAGTAAAATTAAAAGCACATACTTATGAACTTCAGGAGGGCATTGTTAAATTGAAAGTAATTAACTTAATTTTTGTAAAAAAGTACTTAGTGTTAATTTTTCATTGTTTTATTTTTCTTATTTATTTTTATTCATTATGATTTCCTCTGCTAATTGATTTCCATCATCAAAGCTATCATAGTATCCATTCTGTGACAAACTGATATATTTATTTTACTTTTGGGGATACCATTATTTTTTTTTATAATCAGCTGTGGTGTCCTCTATACTTATAACTTATGAACTTACACTGAGGTGTAAGGAAGATCCCACCATAAATATTGCCCAATATCGCATCGCAGTACGGGATTTGATATCATAATATCAAAAGAAAATTGCTAATATTTGATTTTAACATCGCTACCTTATCTTTTTTATTCTTTTTTTCTATTTAGATATCTGAACTAATATTTTTAGTTAAACTTTATTTCCTAAATATATTCATTCTAGTCATAGCATTTAAATAGTTATATTTTTAATTCGCATTTAACTAATAATTGTGTTTAGAAGTAAACTTCTACATAAAACATTATATGAAAACCTTACGATTCGATACCAATTTTACTTTTAATTATATCTGTTTAAACAGCATTAGTGTAATGAAAATGTGCCTTATTGATTCTATTTTAATATATCAATTCAAAAAAGTGAATAAAAAATAAAATAAAATAGGCCAAGACAATTTTTGTCATTATATTAAATTATTCAGTAATTTAACTTTTATCTGTTATTTATTTTCCTAAATATAAGGTGAAACTAGTTAATGGATATCAATGTAAACAGTTGTATTTATACTGACAGCATTTAGAACAAAATTCTGACTAATTCTATGCGATGGAAACATTTCGTACTTGAAATACGAAAACAAATCTGTTAGTTTTTTGTTAACTAGGTACTATTAATTATTTATTATTTAGTTCTTAAATAACATCCGCCAGAAAAATATTGTGATTTTTATTTGTCATTTACCTGAAATCAGTAACTTTGAAAATATTGACTCTGTAGTCATTGGAGTGATATAGTGAAATCTAGAAATTGAGAAAATCAATGAAATAGGCAGAGGTGAAGTCGACTAGTTTAAGTGTTCAAAGATCATACAAAAATATTGGTATAATTGTAGCAAGAATCCCTTGTTATTTGCTAAATTAAAGATTTATTGTGTGCGAAAATTAGTTTTTTTTTTTTTTACAAATATTCATGCTAATGTTTAGATATGATTTCTTGTTGTGATATGATTTTTATAATTTTTTATTTTAGCTCACAATAGTAGATACCGTAGGATATGGTGACCAAATTAATAAACAAGATAGTTACCAAGCTGTTGTTGATTATATAGATGCTCAGTTTGAAGCTTATCTGCAAGAAGAGTTGAAAATTAAACGTTCATTAGCTCAATACCATGATACTCGTATTCACGCTTGTTTATACTTTATTTGTCCAACTGGTCATGGGTAAGATCTTCTGTTTAATTTTAATTACTTACTCATTTATCTTTTAGACATTTTTCTAAAGGTTGTTTTTTTGTTTCTTCAAATATTAAAAAAATTCTGCTTTATCATGTGTTCATTTATTCTTGTGTTCATTTCAGTATATGGGGTTGCGGTCATAAATAGGCTAAATAGTTTTACCACCATTTAGCCTATTTATGACTGCAACCCCGGACCATCTCCTTCCTTTATAATGTAACGGTCAACTATTAAATATTCAATATTACACAGTTTATTACAAATTCATGTATTGTGTTTAATAAATATTTTGAAATAAAATCTCCATTAATTAAAATATTATTCCAAGTGTATTATAGATAATTTATTTTAGATTTCGTGTTTTTTTTTTATATTTATAAAAAGTTTTGAACTATTTAGCTTAATATTAGATATATAATTTTATACTTAAAAGGCTTATTAATTATTAACATTTTTGTTTATTATAGATTGAAATCAATTGATTTATCTTGTATGGAGAAGCTTGACAATAAAGTAAACATCATACCAATTATAGCTAAAGCTGATACTATATCCAAATCTGAGCTTCAAAAGTTCAAGGTACTTAATTCTTTTAATACAATTTTGACTAAATGGTGTTTGATGTTTTATTATTGAGAACATAATCAAGATCATATGCTGATTCTGAAGTATTTTATTACTACTGAATTATGTTATGGGTGGGATGACCAAGCGAGTTAGGCATCAAATTCTCAACTCTTGAACCCAGATTTCATTCCAGGCTAGATTCAGTAAATCTATATTCAGTTCTGTCCGGTGTAGAATTATTGTTCTTATCAAAAATATGGTGATCCCTTGGGTGGGATGAGTTGAGTGTTCCAATTATTCTTCTTCCGAATAGCTGTTCAATGAGGAGTTTCTTTGGAATTTGAGTATCAGACATCCTAGCCAGATGGCCTACTCAGGGGAGTCAACCAATCTTAATAATTCTAACCATGTTACTATCCTGGAACAGTTCTTGCAGTTCTGCATTTGTTCTTTTTATCAAATTCATACAATTAATAAAAAAAAATCATATCATTGATCATCATCAAAAATCATGCAATTAATCAACTATTTGCTTTTGATTTACCTAATGTACTTTAATCTAAGTAAATCTTTCTAGATGGAGATTCTTTTCAGTATAAGGCTTTTAATTGTTCTATTTTTTCCTAGGTCAACAGTTTTCTACTTTCTGTTCTAAATGAAACATGTACCTATATGACAATACATTCCTATCCTTTTACTCTTTATGCATTAACTTTTTATTTGCTGTTTTTTTTATATCAAGTTAATGTATTAAAAATAAATAAATGAATGTTTCACTAAAATTAAAGAAACAAAATCCTCTGTCAAACTTTAACAGAACCTTGGGCCCAGAAGTTCAGAGCTCAGAGTTCAGAGCCTTACCCACTTTACCATATAATATATAGGCTATGATAAAAATGAAGTATAAAATTAAAGTTAGTTGTAGTATAATATAACTTAATCTGTTAAATTATTTCCAGTCAAAGATTATAAGTGAACTAATTGCCAATAAAGTTGAAATATATCAATTCCCTACTGATGATGATCAAGTTGCTGAACTGAATAAGAATATGAATTCGCTTCTGCCATTTGCTGTTGTTGGGAGCACAGAGTTCGTCCGTGTTGGAAATAAAATGATGAGGTCTAGACAGTATCCCTGGGGTACAGTACAAGGTAGTTTTTCAGCTATTTAATTTATTTTATGTTGTCTGATTTCTTTTATAGGACTGAGTATGTTTTTTTTTTTTTAATTTAAGATGTTAGTATCATCTTTAACTTTTAATTGGATTTTTATTTTTTACTTTACTATTTCATTTTATTAATTACAGTCCTTAGTTTTTGTTCTATGTAGTGGTTTTGTTTTTGTTTTAGTGGAAAATGAATCACATTGTGATTTTCTTAAACTGAGAGAAATGCTTATTAGAACTAATATGGAAGACATGCGAGAAAAAACACATTTCAAACATTATGAATTGTATCGAAAAAGAAGCCTAGAGCAGGTATAGTTTAAAATGTCTGATTTTTGGTAAAGTATATCTATAAAATATTCAGGATTTTGTTATGACCACAACATCAGAGCAGTGTTAATAGACAATGAATAAAAGGTGCTTTCCTTTTCTTAGACCACGATTGCCTCATTCTGATTGCCTTGTTCTGCTCTTTTATTGAGCACTTCATGCCATTTAAGATAATCCTTACTAGCATCACCAGGTTTTTTGATTCATAGATTTTCAGCAATTCTTTTATTAAATTATATATATATATATATATATATATATATATATATATATATATATGTTTATATATCAATCTTTATTTGTTTTAAGAGAAGAACCCTATACAAATGGAGTCTATCACAAAATAACAAACATTATTATCCTTATGGGAATACAAATTCCTTTTTATACTCCATAACAGACATTACAACACTCTTAAGCATAAATTAAAAATTATATTCGGTAAAGATCAGACAGTTAAAATAGTTCCAATCATCAAATTAATATAAAATCTAAAATTTTCAACAATATACATAAATAAATACACATAAAGCAATAAATACACATTTTTTTAAAAATATTAATATTAAACTATGCTTTAAAATTAAATTAAAAGATTACTCCTATAACTAAGAGAACAGAGAAGAAAAATACCCGGGCCAGATTACATGCCGATGTATAATATGGAATTTTTTCCATATTATGCAGAGGACAATATTCAAGATTACCCTATCAATTCTTTATAATTTGAGATAAAAAAATATAATTTTCTCATATCTTCTGCACTGGTTGGCTTAATTATTTCTATCCCATCAAGATTTTCTGTACCCTGATAAATTCTTACCCTTAAACTACTATAAATTGGGCATTTAAAGAATATATGATGAAGTGTTTCCTTTTCTTTAGTGTTGCACATTTTGCACTCAAGTTTTGGAGTAATTTTCACAATTTTATTATTAACAGAAATCTTGATCATATATTTTCCCCAGAGACGGGTCTGCATTAATACTTTTGTATTTTCGTGTATATATATATAAATATATATATATGTATAATCGTGGGAGTGGGGTAGCTCCGTGGTAGGGTACTGAGCTTCCAATGCTAAAGGTCCCAGGTTCGAACCCCAGCTCATGGCAGAAAATTTATTTATCTGTTTCATAGGCCATGGGGCGACCCTGGGTCAGGAGACCCTCCTGTGGCACATCCAGCCTCTATAAAGTGGGTACCCTTAATTAAATAATTAATTAAGCGGGAAAACGTGGCGGTTGAGCGTGATCTCTGTCAAATCACCTCCTTGAACAACCTCTTTGACCTAGAAACAGTGCTTTCCCTTAATAGTACTGAACCCAAGACCCTTCATGGGTTGTAGTGGTACAGGTTTTTTTTTTATATATATAGCATTTCCAAGTCAATTTCAACCTTTTCCGGATCAAATTCAACCTTTTCCAAGTCAAATTAAACCTTTTCCATTTCAAATTCAACCTTTTCCAAGTCAAATTCAACCTTTTCCATTTCAAATTCAACTTTTGAATTTTTGTCAATTTTCGATTTTTTTCGAAATGAAGGCCAATTACTATATTATCGAAGGCATAGCTTTTGAAAAATACAAAAAAAATTTTGATAACGCGGTTGCATATCCATTTATTTTAACATTTTAGATTTTTTCAGTGTGATATTTCTATGTCATTTCCAAGTCAAATTCAACCTTTTCCAAGTCAAATTCAACTTTTTCCAGATCAAATTAAACTTTTTTCAAGTCAAATTCAACCATTTCCATTTCAAATTAAACCTTTTCCGATTCAAATTCAACCGTTTTCATTTCAAATTAATGTTTTAATTTTTTGTAAATCTTATATTTTTTTTTAAATAATGGCCATCCCCTCCCCCCCTCCAATATGAAAGTCTATTATTATGCTCTCCTAAGTGGAATTTTCACTTACGGATATCGATTTATTGTACCTATTCGGATTTATTAGGGACTAGTATTATGCTGTCCTGTACATAGTTTTGAAAATATCCCCCATTTTAAGATTAAGTGACTGCGTTTCTAATCATTTAAGTTTTTTTGACTTATTCGATATAAGGGTGTATTTTTATGTTTCCCGATCAGTAAATTTTGAAAATGACATCCATGTTATGTTTACTCCACTGCGTTTCGACTTATTTAAGTTTTTTTTATTTATTCGATGTAAGGGTGTATTTTTATGTTTCCGGAGCTGTAGATTTTGAAAATGACCTCCATTTTAAGATTAGGCCACCGCGTTTCGATTTCTTTGAGTTTTTCGGATTTTTTTCATATGAGGATGTATTCTTATGTTTCCGGAGCCATAGATTTTGAAAACGACCTCCATTTTAAGATTAGGCCACCGCATTTCGATTTCTTTAAGTGTTTCGAATTTTTATCATAAAAGAGTGTGTTCTTATGTTTCCGGAGTCGTAGATTTTGAAAATGACCTCCATTTTAAGATTACGCCACTGCGTTTCGGCTTATTTAAGTTTTTCGAATTTATCCAATTTAAAGGTCTACTTTTATGATGCCGGAGCCTTAGTTTTTAAAACGACTTACATTTTAAGATTAGGCCACTGTGTTTCGGTTTTTTTAAGTGTTTTTGATTTTTCCTTCGAATAAAAACAAAATACGAAGGATTAATTTATTTTTCAATAAATAAATAAAAATATCTAATCAAAATAAATAAAATATGTATTGTCTCATTTTTAATTTAATTTTAGTTATCTTTTTTAATGTTGTGGTCTCCTGTCACAAAATTATAAGATTTCGAACAATTAGCTGAAAAATCTGAATACGGAAGGTTAAATTTATTACCAGCTGCTTTTCGGCTTTTTAGTTTGTATTCTATGGTTAATTTAACTTTAGCTTCATAATATTTATTTATTTATTCATACTCGAAAACATATTGATGAAACTTTGTATTGAAAAAATCCAAAATGAAGCCTAATTATTCGAGATGCAGCGGCTTAATCATAAAATGGAGCTTAAATAATAGATAAATTTAAATATTAAAGATTAGAAAAATTTCAATACGTCTCAGATAACATATAAGTAGATCCTTATACCGAAAAAGTAAAAAAAAAAAAACTTTTATAATCCAAAACACAGTGGCATAAACTTGAAATTGGGTCATTTACAAAATGGGGGAAATCTACTGCTCCAGAAACATAAAATTATACCTTTATACTTGTTAAATTCTAAAAACTTAAATAAGTTGAAACGCAGTGGCGTAATCATAAAATAGAGGTCATTTTCAGAATCTACGGTTCCGAAAACATAAAAGTAGAGCTTTAAATTGGATAAATTCGAAAAACTTAAATAAGTCAAAATGCAATGGCGTAATCATGAAATGGAGGTTATTTTCAAAATCTACGACTCAAGAAACATAAAAGTAGACCTTAATATTGGATAAATTCGAAAAACTTAAATAAGTCAAAACGCAGCAGCGTAATCATAAAATGGAGGTCATTTTCAAAATCTACAGCTCCGGAAACATAAAAATACACCCTTACATGTAATTAATCAAAAAAACTTAAATAAGTCGAAACACAGTGGCTTAATCTTAAAATGGAGGTCATTTTCAAAATCTACAGCTCCGGAAACATAAAAATACACCCTCATATCAAAAATATCCGAAAAACTCAAATAAGTCGAAACGCGGTGGCCTAATCTTAAAATGGAGGTCATTTTCAAAATCTACAGCTCCGGAAACATAAAAATACACCCTCATATCAAAAATATCCGAAAAACTCTAAGTCGAAACGCAGTGGCCTAATCTTAAAATGGAGGTCATTTTCAAAATCTACAGCTCCGGAAACATAAAAATACACCCTTACATCGAATAAATCAAAAAAACTTAAATAAGTCGAAACGCAGTGGCTTAATCTTAAAATGGAGGTCATTTTCAAAATCTACAGCCCCGGAAACATAAAAATACACCCTTATATCAAAAATATCCGAAAAACTCAAATAAGTCGAAACGCGGTGGCCTAATCTTAAAATGGATGTCGTTTTCATAACCTACGGCTCCAGAATCATAAAAGTAGACCTTTATATTGGATAAATTCTAAAAACTTTAATAAATCAAAACACAGTGGCGTAAACATAAAATGGATGTCATTTTCAAAATTTACTGATGGAGAAACATAAAAATACACCCTTATATCGAATAATTCAAAAAAACTTAAATAATTCGAAACTCAGTCACGTAATCTTAAAAAGGAGGTTATTTTCAAAAACTACTCATACGGTAAGAGACCCACACATCGAAAAATTAAAGATAATTAAATAAATAAAAAAAGGTTGAATTTGAAATGGAAAAGGTTTAATTTGAAATGGAAAAGGTTGAATTTGACTTGGAAAAAGTTTAATTTGATTTGGAAAAGGTTGAAGTTGCCTTGGAAATGCTATATAATCGTACTTATTCAACAAATCTGTTTTGATGTTGATTGATAATGTATTGAATTTTCATTGTTTTTTTCCCCCTCAACAGAATTTTAATCATATCTAAAATTTTAACTTTCTTAATATTTTTAGATGGGATTTACTGATGTTGATTCAGAGAATAAACCTGTTAGTTTCCAACAGTCCTTTGAAGCCAAACGACTTAATCATTTGCAAGAATTGCAACAAAAAGAAGATGAAATGAGACAGATGTTTGTGGTCAGAGTCAAGGAAAAGGAAACTGAACTGAAAGAAGCAGAAAAGGAAGTAAGTATTTACATAAATTTGTATATTAATTTATATAGTATTAATTTTTATGAAAAATGTTTTTATTTTGTAGGATTAAGTTGAATTACAATGCTAAAAAATCTTTTTTCTTTACAAATGTTCCTATTTTTTTTTATGAATTAAAAAATATTGCTATTTTTTTTTGATAAATTAACAAACACTATATTTGTTTTGATACATTGTATACTCAAACAATACTGCTATTTATCTCTGGTTCTGATACTCAGGCAAAAAAAATAACCAGACTTAACAGTTTTGCACTTACTGTACTCAGTGGTCATCCTTACTTGAATCTCAATGGTTGGACACGGACTGGGGGAGCTAAGTAAGGATTAATAGCACCTTCTGCACTCCCTTAGTTTCAAATTTCATTTTTTTCTAATATTATATGCTAAAGAGGTGGCTAATAAATTTAAAATGTATATTTCAGCTTGCCCTTATTGCTATACTTTCATTACTTCACCATCAGAATCCATATAATTTTGAATTTATCATATCTTAAGGTTGTTTTACATGATCAAGTTTTTTTAAGAAACTCGCTTTAGTCAAGTTACTTAACTGTGTAAACATGTTTTGATAAGTCGAGAGACCAAATTGTTCTAACATGTTAATTGGTTTTAATAATAATTGTTCTAACAATAATTAGAATTTTTTTTATAAAACTTTTTAAATTAAATATTGCTGCATGCCTTATTTTCATAAAACATATAACGTTCTTCAATATTGTGTTAGACCATTGTCTGGATGGTTTCTAAAGTAAACCAGGAAAGTAAGGTAAGGTTACTATCCTGACACACCTAATGCAGAAATATGTGAACTAATCACTTTTGGGAGTCCAAATAATAATTTTAATTATGTAATTAAGGACATCAGAACCTTACAAAAAATAAAAAGCAAAGTCAACATTAGCTCCGATTCAATATGAAAAGTTATTAATGAATTTGAAGTGTGACTTTTTATTTTTAGCACCTACAATTAACTACACCCAGATTTTAGCACAATTGATTATAATTATAATTAGTTATTTTATTATTTAATACCATATTTATATTTTTTTAAATTATTAAATTACTAATGAAACTGAACTTCTAAGATATTGCACAGCGTAAGATTCCTACAAGAATGCTATTCGTCAGAGATTTCAAAGTTTTGCACAAGATTCTTGTATCAAAAATGTACCTTATACAAATTTTTTTCATATGTATGCAAACCTACATTGATCTGAGCCATTAATTTTTTTTCTATTGAAAAAAAGTTAGTGCGCCCGAGACTCTGGTTTTACAAAAAAAATAAAAATCATTGAGCGTACAATTTATCAAGCAGTATAGGTCTAGTTTATATGATACTAAGATATGAGGATTTTTTTTATGGATGAGAAGTAATGCTGATACCATATTGATTTTGAAGTGAAATATCATTATAAGAATAAGCATTGTAGAACACCTAGTGAAAAAATATGTTAAATAAACCATGTTTTGTTTAAGAATAAGAATTTAGTCAACAATTAACCATGTAAACTGGCCTATAAACCATAATATAGTTGCTGGCCGTGATAAGGAATTTCATATTTTTCTCTTTTTATATTTTTAATTACCAATTTTTCAATATTAATGATTGTTGAAAATAGCTATTTGTTGTGTTTTTTTAATGAATAATCATTTACATTACAATAACCAATACATTCGATCATTTTTTTTTTAGCTTCATGCAAAATTTGATAAACTTCGTCATGAACACACTGAAGAAAAAAGGAAGCTTGAAGATTCAAGGAAAAAGCTTGAAGATGATGTTTTGGAATTTAATCGAAGAAAATCACAGTTTACTCAAGCTGGTTCTACTTCACATCATACTCTCACACTGGGAAAAAGCAAAAAGAAATAACCCAAAGATTAAATTTACTTTTGTTTCTATTTGCCAAATGAGTATTATGGAAGTTTTGTATAATTTTGGGTTCTATTTATTTAGTTTTAATTTAAAGTTCTTATTTATTGTTTTTAATTTGGTATCTTTTAGGAAGAAATAGATTCAAATACCTGATTATTGCTATTTTTACTTTATAAGTTTATAAAGTATATAATGTTAATTACCTTTGTATTTTTATATATAAAAAACTATTATTATGAAAAAAAGAAAGGCCAAATTCTTATTGTAATATTAGATAAATAAGCTTTAGAAAATATTTTGTAAAAATTTAGTACTAGTTGTACTAGCGGACTAAAAAATTTAATTTTTAATTTTGGGAAATTAAACAAATACAATACATTATAAAAATGAACAAATCATAGAAAAAGTGTTATTACTAAAAATAACTAACAATCTGACTTACATAACCATATTTTCTGATAGAATTCAAGACCATAGAATTCAAACGTGATGTTTTATTAATATTATGAACTGTTCATGGTTATTTAATTTAATATATTAAATATACTTGATTGCATACAATTTACACGCTAGTTCTAGTATGAATTTTTAAAACAGTCATTTAGTATTTTAAGTATATTTTGTGTGGATTAGTGTATATATTAATTTATTATATTTACATACGATTGTAAATTTTCCTTTTTGATTTTTTTTTTATATTCTCTTCTAATTCTGCTTCTTATTTTATTTTATTTTTTTAATCTTGCTTGACTACCTGGAGGGCTTTCAACTCATCCTTTAGAATTTCTTTTTCACTATTAAATGCAAGGTCAAATCCAACAGCACTTCTAATCTTCATGCTATTTTAATTTTCCATGAGGGCCCTGCAGTAAATGGGCCCTGGCACTATGGAACTAAGGCAAGCAGTTATTGCAGTTTTGGCCGTTAACCACATATTCCTAAAATTGTCTTCACTAGTCATTTTAGATGGTTGTGGAACATGACCATATTTGACGGATGTTTCCCATGAAATGACAGCTAACAAGACAAAGTCGAAAAAATTAGTATGATATCATGACGGATGTTTTTGAGTCTTAAATCATGATTTATTGGCAGATGTAAATATAATAGATAGTATTAACAATATATTCCTGACTTGTATTCATAATTCTTCACACTGGAAACAAGTGATTTAAGATTAAGGTGCAATAAGAGAGAGTCTGTGGGATGAATGAATTTTCCCACTTTATATCAGTTAAGGTAGAATTCTTAGCAATGATTAATTTTCTATGTTACATATATATATTCATAATAATATAAACATATATTTATTTTTTAACATTGTAATTTCTAAATACCATAATTTAAACAAGATATGCATTCAGTATGTGCCTGCAAAAGCATGGAACATGTTACAGAAATCAATTAAATGGTCCATTTATGGGGTTGCTATAAAAGAAAAAAACATAGCTATCATTATAGAATTGCTTTGAGTTTTTCTGATGGATCATTGTAAAAGTTGATTAAATATTATTTCATCTTTCCATTGTGACATAATCTATACCTATTCGTGTACATTTTAGTTTCCCTGCAATTATTTTTTAATTGTGAAATGTATAAATTATAAACCCCATGTTTGTGCATGAAGAATTGAAAAAAATATCTTTAAAATTTGTGGTTAAAAGCTCTAGGGAGTCTTGAAAGTAAAAGTCAGAGGAATATCATCTATTTAGTGTCACTTGCTATATTAAAAATAGCATATATCAAATATATTTAAAAATATCGAATATATTTGATGCTTGCAACTTTATGTAAAGATGCAAAAATATGTAGTTAATGTTTATAAAATATTATCATAGGTAAATATTTTGGTGTAAAATTATTTACCCTTGAGACCAGCATGAATAGTATGTAAACAAACTAGCTTCAGAACTCACTGACTTCGAAACAATTTTTTTTAATGTTCTACATAAAAATAGATTTTTCTTCTTAAATTGTAGATAGATTATTTGTATAATACTATGAAATTGTATGTTACCGATAATTCTGGATTGGTATAAATATTAGTCCTCAGTCTCTAGGCTGCAACATTATTATAAATGCAGACTACTGTTGCTATTTGTGAAAGGCATTACATTTAATCTCAATGAACACTTTACTTTTAAATAAAATATTGTCATTGGATTTCTCTCCTAAAAGTTATGGCGAATCTCCTGTATAATATTATGATGTATATAATTGATAAATCTTGATCAATATTTATATAGTAATAAAATGTTATTCAAGAAATTTTAATCTTAATGAATACTTGATGTTTTAAATTTTAAAAATCTTAGAATCTGGTTTCTGACATTATGAATGCTTGTTAAAGGCTACCTCCTCTTGAATATTTTCTTATAAAGAACAAAGTTTTATTTATTTATATTTTTAATATATCCTATCCTTTATAACTCAATATACAAGCATTCATGTTATTGATTAATTCTGTAAAACGTGTTCTGAACTTCTTATAATTGTATATATTTGAGTTGAAATGAAATAATACTTAAATTGTATATTATTACAATACATCCATTAATTAGTTTGATAGTTTCTGTATCAATACCTGGTATTACTTCATTTGTAAATATCCTTTCTCATTAACTTACTTTTTATTTGGTATTAAACTTTTTTTAGAATAAGGCTAAAACTACCTAATATATATAATGTAATGTATATATATATATATATATATATATATATATATATATATATATATATATATATATATATATATATATATATATACATTACATTATATATTGAAGGAAGTTAGTCGACTGTAATACATATCACTGGTGATAAATATTCAGGACGCAGTCATTATAAAGTTTTTATCAGTGCCGACGTTTCAACCTAAACATATGGGTCATCATCAGGGCATGTTTCGAGCACTGATGATGACCCACATATTTAGGTTGAAACGTCGACACTAATATAAACTTTATGATGACTGCGTCCTGAATATTTATCACCCATGATATATATATATATATATATATATATATATATATATATATATATATATATATTCTCTGTTGGAAAAAATTAACGCATCATTCAAAGATGTCCACTTTATTCGAATTTCAAAGCCCAACAAAATTATTATGTGATAAATTAATCATTTGAAAACTTTTACATTAATAAAATAAGGTACACGATTAGTAAAAAAAAAAAAAAAAAATATTTTCTATATGATAAACCTCAAAAAAGCAAATTAAAAGAAATGTTAAGTTAATAATGGGCATTTTCACCCTTGTTGCGAATCACATCCCTTAAACATCTTTCCATTGATTTGAAAAGATTTTCAATAAAGTCTTGAGGAACGTTCTCTCACTCTTCCATAACAGCTGTTTCCATTTTCTCAAAGATACTAGGCCACATATTCAGACTTCGTACTCTTTTGTAAAGGTGTTCGGAGACATATTTATTGGGTTTAAGTGAGTACTTTGTGGTGTCTATATCAGGTGATCAATCTCATCTTCAATCCGGTACTCATCCACTATTTGTGATGTGTTTGGTCTTGTATTGTCATCCATAATAACAGGAATCCTTCACCAATGTAGGGTGAAAATTTCACTACTTGCTCTTCGATAATGTCATGCAAGTATCTCTGTGAAGTCATAGCTCTGGTGGCAGGGCCCAAAAACCCAGGCGAAGGTTTGATTGTAAATTATGAAAGTGTATGTTATTCTGAGTAAAAAGAACCTTATCTGCTGTACCAAAAAATGTTGGCTGATTTAAAGAATCTAGTAGGCCCGTGCGAAAAATTCGCACAGCATATAGTTATCAAATGAAAAATTAATAAGACAATGAAAAAATCCAATGTATCAAAGGATTAAGACATCAAATGTTACTTTATCGACAAAGAAAAATTAATTTAAATCTTCATTTTTGTTTGGAACCAACATGTTTACAAAATTCAGTAAGCTGTATCGTTGCTAAAAATTGTCAGATTTCAATGATTCTGTTTTCCTTTTGTAGGGAATTAAGTAATCTTTTATATAATCATGGACATAACCCATGATTATATAAAAGGGAAAAGTGTGTAATTTTTCAGTTATTCGCAAATAAAGTTTATTTTCTTTCATAACTTGTTTGCCTGAATTTTCTGGGTGATTGGACTATTTTGCCAGCCTGAAGGAGAAGGAAGCCTTCGAAATTGGTGGCTCAATCTTGAGATTTGGTGAAAAATTGACGATGATATGGCTTACCGATCAAAAACACCATCGATAAATAATACAAACACCTCCTCTCTCGATCATAGAGATCTCAAGTCGACGAAATGAGACATGTATTCAATGACAGTACTACAATTAATGAAAGATTGTGTGGAAGCGAACCCTATGCCTTGCGTTATCTCGAAAATAGTACGTTTTCGGGGTTAAAAACGCAGGATCCGGGTCTTGCTGTACGCATCAAAATTTCAAGATCCAATTTGTCCCGTAACGATCTACAGACCTACCACCGTTCCAGTATTGAAGCCCAGCAAAATGTTTGTATCGATTTTATTTATTATAGAAAGAAAAAGAAAAGTGAAGGATACGATTTGCTAACCCCCCGTGAAATTCTGAATCCAACGGTACCCCATTCATGGTATTTGAGCATGACAGGAGCTTATATTTGGTACAAAACGGATTTCAAGCCTTACTGTAATAATATATGTACGGATTAGGCCAGTCATTTGAGGATCAAAACGGGCAATCCATTGCAAAAAATGTGAGACATATGGATTTTGACGTATAAAAACCTAAATTTCTAATGCTAGCCACTATGAGAAAACTTTTTACAGCCAAACAAGTTAAATTTTTTCGATATTTTTTTGTTTTTTCACTTATAACTCCTACCCGATGCATCAAAGCGAAAAATGTATTCTTTAATAAATCAAATAACGTTAAATTATGCGTCGAAAAAGTACATAAACTTTATAATTTTGTTACATGTTAAGGTGTAAAACCACAGTCAAACAACGCTAATTT